AGGTTTATCTAGACCAAGAAATGTTAGACAGATTTGACAACTAGTATATTTATTCTGAAGCAATTAAAGTGATTATCTATATATCATTAAGCGACACTTTTAACAAATATTGTATAATATGTAGGATACTCAGTACTTTATATCATACATTATTCGCATAATTCAGATTGGGATACAAGCATAGAATGCTTGTGAATCCCTGTATGTCGACTAAAATTAGTCATTAACTATGTAGTACTTCAATGTAATTATAGGAACAGGTTAAAGTAGTTAACTTCAATGTAACAACGTTAGTTAGTGTAATAGAATTATATTAAATGGACGGTATCATACTTTATTTTATTTATCTTTTACTTGGTCTACAAATGAACGCCCATTATTACTTACAGCACGTTGATAATTCTGAGAAAATAATCAATGTCCTACATAACATTTTAAAACAGATATTGTATAAGCTGATTGACATTTCAATTTATTTATGCTTTGTATTTATTAAAATTGCATGTAAATAGTCAAAATTAATAACAATACTGATAATACTGGCAATAATAATAATAATTCAGAATTAAAGATAAGAAATACAATCATGGCCTAATAGAATATTTATCCAAATGACTGATAGAAACGCATAGACACATTAACATAGAACTGCACTGAAGAACATATATCTTATTATTAATAAACTCCACAATAACATTGTAAAAATACAAAAATGAAGAAGAAGTAGAATATACTTCAATAGGTGAATAAATAAATGAGACAGGGTAAAAATGTTTGAAATTTGAAAGGTGAAAATTGATTGTGTCTAAGACACTTTGATCGATTCTGAGCTATTACATTATAGTTCTGTAGACATTTATTTCTGTATAATTGCAAAAACGTTAATACCTTATCAAAAGTAGGCCGACAGCTAGTGATTTCCTAAAATGACGTCATGTTGTTCTGCTATCTGTAACTTTTTAAAATCCATCACTTTATTCAACCAGTTTCGTATGCCATGATAGAAAGTTAACATGTATATCTCATAGCTCTTTCCTCAATTTTCGTGATGCCCCAATTTTATGTAAATGCTCAATTTCTTTGCCAAGAGTATTAAAACTTGTTTCATCTTTACTTGATGGTTTTATCACAATTGATGGTCCAAAAACATCCATGACAGGATACATGTTATTTGCACATAGTCTTTATCCTTTAGGACAATATCTACATACCATACAGTAATACGTAGCACACTACTATGCAACATACTTTGTGGGACGAAGTACCAAACGTACAGCAAATCTTTTGAATTTGTGTCAAAATCTCATTGGTAACCTGGCTGAAGTGCGTTATGCAACTTCTTAAATGAAATAAGTGATTGAAATGTAGCACGTGGTGTAGACAAATACTAAAGTAGGTGCTAGGCCTATAAACTTTTCTCACATTGTCAATCAGGGTATTTTAATAAATTCAACATCTTTTCTAAATTTTAAGACAAAGTTATCTCGCTTCTTCACTCTACGCTTTTCAAAGAATCTTTGAGGAATATATGAGTTCAAGATAAGTCAGACATGAATAGGAGTAATTCCACCAGTATGTTATTTATAAATATTCCTTTTAGTTATCACCTAAAACAACAATCCTCTGTGAGCTGTTGCACAACCTTATATTTTTAGGGGTACAATGATTTTCTTCGGTACTTATTAACTCAGAAACCTCTCTATAGCAAACTGCCGTGATAACAGATTTCCAGTTAAATTTTAATGCTTCTTTGGATTACATGAAATTTTAATTCAATCTGTTACTGAAATGCTAAAAAATGTTGTATCTATTAAACTTAATAATCTATGTCTTTGAATGCTTATCTGGTTGAAATGCTCATTGTTTTTTGTTATTTTCTGCAATTTTATTATGTTTCTGCTCACTTAAAAGAAGTTTACAGTAAATGCGTGCTAAAACAATAAGAATAAAATTCTAGAAGTAGTGGGTAGGATTGTTCTAATATTTGATCAGTTAAAATGTTTGACTTAAGGATGATGCTATAAAGTAATTATGTGCTCACTCTGAATGAGAATTACTATAAATGTGGGTAAACGTCAATACGATGCCAATATACTAATAACAATATACTAGTAACAATGGGAACGATTCGGCTAACAGTCTAGTTCTTTGAATTCTGTTGCTACTAAAAACAGATAGACGTAAATTTAGATTTTAATAATAAAAATGTTTACAATCAAGTATATGGAATTAACATTAAATACAATGAAACTATAAAAAAACACTTAATAAAAATAACTTACTAGATGAACTGTCATTCATTCATTGTGAACAGTATAATCTATGATAAGAGAAATGTAAACTTTGATCTTTAACTCATTTTGTACTGTTTTGTTTTTGCTTATCATTATAGTGTCTGTCAATATTTCATTAAAACATTATTCTTAGATCACAAAATTTTGTAGTATAACTGAATTATTCGATAGATATGATCATTTATATGTTGTACGCTTTTAACTAATTAGCTTATATTAGTGTCTTAATGTTGACTTATCTAATCAGACTCATATAAGTCAGTTTAAAGTGATTTTACTCAGTTGATAGTAACAATTCGAAATTAAAATAATATAATATGCAATTTGAAATATGAGTTGATTTCCTCTTATGTAAACTGTTTATTTCACTCCTTTTGTTTCTATGTTATATGACAAATTACTTTTTTTAAATTTATGGATCCGATGATATTCTGATAAATTTCATTTTAAAAAAATGCAATATTTAATACGTTTTGTTAACATTTATTATGTTAATAATCTGAATTATACAAAATGTTATTCTCGAAGTCAAGACGATTTTTCTATAAAGAAAATTGAACGAATGAATTTACAATTTATTTTAAACTAATCTCAAGATAATACCTGTTAAGATGCTTTCTAACACTGAAAGAAATTGGTCTTCAAAGAAGTAACATGGACATTGTTAATCAATATATTAGGAAAGTAAAGAAATGTAATATACTCTACCATATTTGAAATGTTTTTCAGTATTGTCCCGTTGATTATAGAGTGTAATCGATACTAAAGTACACATTCTTGTGATACACTGATGAACGCAAGTAATATAATCTGTTACAGGGTTTTCTACATTATTACGTTAATAGATAATATCTCTTTCAATATTTAAAAGTATGCAAAAAGTTACTTGAAGTGAACGAAAATTCAGGTGTAGGAAATCAATGTAATGTTTACTGCAAAATTACAAAGTGCCTTGGTAAAATAATGAGAACCGTACACTAAATACATTATTTGCACATCTTCCATCAATTGTTCTTTGCATGCTTCATGATTCTTTCAATTTTGTTTTTATTACACTTGTTCTCTTTCCCTTTCTGTCCCTTTTAATCCAATCTTCTGCTGGTAGGAGTTCCACTTTCGATTACTGCTACATGCTACTTATGTCTGTCAGCACAAGTAACGTGCACCGCAAGCAAAGAGAATCTAGAACTGATATATCATATGTAGAAGAACCATAACACATACAATCATCTAGTGTAATTTTATTCTCAATAAATTTGCCTGGTTTTACTATTTTGCCCATGAATCTTAGCTATTGTTAAACTAAATACGTTTAGATTAGTAACTTTCAAATATTTTCATTAATGGTTTAAATGGGATTAACTGATAGAAATCTATCTACAAAACTTATTAAGTTACTTTCGGAATGCAAACTGCTCATCTTTATCAGCCTATAACCTATGCGATACAACAAAAAGTAACTTGAAACATATAGTGTACCTCAGACTAACATATCAAGTAGAAAAATATAAATATCATGAACTTTATGAAATAAATTTAAAATATCATTGAAAATAATTCTTTGACATGATTTGTTCGACCGCCAAACGACACACAAAACTACTATATATAGCATACTATGTTTACATCATACCATATGTTTTTCTTCCATTGATGAGTATTGGGCAAATAATTTCGTATGCATATGAAATCACTTTAATTGTTTTGTATTACTTGAAAAATTTCGATCAACTCTGAATGAGATTCATTCTTAGTATTCGTTTATTGAAATCCAAATATCATGGTATATTAAACAAAACAAAAAAATGTTTCATACAAAATTCAAATCTATTTATCTTGATCAGATCCATAATCGTAAATAATTTTCGATGATTACTGTTTTTGAAATTATCTATTTATAAACTAAGATTTGGTGAAGATTAACGATAACTAGGATCTAAGTGTCTTATTATCATAGAGAAAGAAAAAAGTGTGAATATGCAATACTTTTCATAATATTGCTTCTTTTAAGTTGAATACTTTTATTATAAAAAATTAATTCGCGTCTAGGACAATATTATCATATTTGAGCGATCGTAAATTTCATAATACCCAAAAGTCCTAGGTACAGATATTTTCTCATTGTTTATTAAATATTGTGTATAAGTAGTTTTATAAACTTAGATTTTTGGAACCAATTAGAGCTATACAATAAAAATTTTCTATAACACTATCAATAGTACTGACTTCTAATTCTATATATTTCTTTTATTTCAAAAAAGTAACTGTAGACAATCTTCCTTTCCCATTTTATACTACTAAGAAAACCTATCGAAAAGTGTACAACAATTGATTAAATGTTTTGTTCTGGTAAAATTTACAGTTATCATGTCTCATTGTTTTGTTGTAGTATCATCAGTAGTTACTATCATTCTTCGTTATTTTTGGTTTTAACTAACAGTTCTTAAAAACGTAATTGAAATTATTTAGATTAATAGAATCATATCAGACAATTTTGTTTATTTACGAGCAACCGAAGTAATTTTATTGTCTTTGAATACTTAAATTATTTTTAGTTTTATTTGTCACAATATAGAACAAATTTGTATATGTTCTGAACTAATATGTCTAGATAGATTAGTAATCCGAATTGTTTCGATATTGTTTCCCTAGTTTTCATTCATCTTCTAACACAATCATGGAAATTTTTATTTTACTTTTTTTCAGTCTATTTCACCGTACATTTCTGCGTTGTATCAATCCTCTCCACATGATCCCCCACTTCGTTCACAACCTGACAGAATTTATTTGACGTCACCAACTGAATGGACATGTAGTCGGTCTGAATTATGCAAATGGTTAGATCGATTGGCTTCATGTTTTGATGCAGCTTTCTATCCATCTGGTGGTACATCAATGTCTGTATTAAATGATAATGAAAATTTGTCTACTAATTCTGACTCAGCACATTCATTTGTAAGTAATAAAAGCCATAATGGTATATTGTTCAATAACAGAGTAAACAATCAACAACAACATCGTCGAACGTATCAACAATCAAATCAATTAATACCTAATTTACAAAAATATTCAGAAACTAGTGATTTGAGTATGTCAGGTGGTGACTCAGATATGGATAATGAATATTATTCAGGGTATAATAAACCAGTACAAATGAAAAATCTCAATGTCCCAGATGATGAAGTATTCTCAACAGATTATTCAAAAAATAATTCAATCCAATCTATAGACCATAGTTTTTCACATCATTCAATAAATTCAACAATGAATCGTATAGAAGCTATATTTTGGCGTCGATTATTAGCTAATATTTCTTATGAAATACTGAATACTATACTTTTCACAGGTAACTTGGTAAATATTCATTTTTTTTGTATTTTTAAAAATATTTGTACATTAATAAAATGTTGTGAGATTTTTTTTTTACATTCATATGTATCATACAAGTTCTTAATAGAACCTTGAAAGTAGTTTGGCAATTGATAGATAACTACTAAAAATTGTATAAACATATTACTATTTATATCGCTTATTTCTCACATTAAGATAATATTAGCTAGAATAACCTTCAACTTATTAAAAATGTAATGCTTTCTATGATTTAGATTTTTACGTGATTGTTTTATAAAAATATGATAACACGTCTATTTTTAGGTAGTTTCTTTAATTATTTTTTTTAGACATTTTATAAGATTATAAAATCTTAATCCTCTTAATGATTCATATTTTTAATGGTTATTTGTCATTTGGTTATGAAAACAAGAATAGTAACATATTGGGGTTAATCCTCATTGCTAACTTTTAACAAAAGTGGATCGATGAATATGTTAGCAAACATTGAAGAAATATTTTCTTCAAATTCACTACTTTTTAACTCTGCATTCTGTATAGAATCAAACTTATAATCCTTAAGACTAGCAATGAGGAAACAACTTTAAACCGTAAAATTAATATGTAATATACTTGGGCTCTTGGTGATTTTATACTGAAAGTAATTAAAACTAAATCAAAATGGAACACTTCAAAAACTTTTTATTCATGTATGCTGAGATATTACTTTGTTTCTTCCTAGAATTATTAATAATTTTAAAACTAATTATGCACTATAAATAGTTTAGAAATTTCTCATCTACTTCATAACGTTGAGTTTTCAAAATTATAAGGAACTAGTGTTATCTTAGTTTCAAATCTCTAATTCGTAATAATATTTGTTGTTTTAATCCAGATAGCGTTTCCATGTGAGTTATACGTTTCTGTAGATTTCAAATGGTTTGTTGAAAGTTCATCCAATTAGTGGGAAGCTAACTGAACGGTGAGCCATATAGTGAATTAGAAAATACAACCTGCCAATTCACTACATGATTCCATACCGTTATTTGTAACATACTTGATATGCTAAGATCAAGTATATTGTTTAGATTTACGAGGAGAAGAGGTTGAACCTTTAACCTGTAAGCTTGAACTGCTGAAACATTAATCCATAGGCCTAGATTATGTCAACACTTAGATGAACATTCCATGGAAGGCAGTTTGAATATAACATTCGATTTGGACGGAATGTCTAACAAACGAATCCATGTTTTCTATTCAGCAATAAAAATAATTGGTACACATATATCAACTACATATGGTTTAGATATTTGAAATCAAGTACATACCACTCAAGAGCCTACAAATTTTCTAAAATGTAGCGTATAAGCCTAATCTCAATTCTTCATCTGTTTGAACAGTGAAGCTTCTAGTTAGAAATTTTTGCATTCTACATTGCTACAAGTGCATTTTTAAAGTCAGTATTTGAACAAATGTTTAAATTATGTAGCATATGTTTGCTTTGATCTGCAGCATTTTACAATAAACCACACGAATCTACTGTAGAGTTATTTCATAGTTCTCTAAATAAATAATGAAACTTTGCAAGAGATATGTTACCAATGCCTGGAAATTTATAAGCACACATCAACAGTTTTCACGTGATTACGTTGATTAAAGTATCGTCTAAGTATTGATCTCAGTACTAAACATGTTGTGCGAAAAAACGTGAGATTTTCATAGTTTTCTCTACAATATCGAATTAGAACTGATATTCATAATTACCCTCACGTTGTGTGATATATATAAGTCATGACAATTGATTATCAATTTTATTTTTACAAATGAAGAAGATCGCTACATAATTCATCCTACACGTACATTTCATTGAGTGCTATCGATAAAACAAGTTCAGAATTGATTTTTACGTGAAATCAGTCTATGCTACATTTATTCACTTATGAACATAAAATGTTCATGTTAGGTTTTTAATCATTATACTTTAAGTCTAATAAAGAAATAAGCATTTAAAAAATTATGGAGGAACAAAAACTGTTTGTAGTGTATTCATGAAAACCAAAAAACTTAACCAATTTGTGATTTTGTAATCGTAAAAACTTCATTTTAATCTGTAAACATTTGTGCAATTTGTGTGGTCGAGAAATAGAAATGAATATGTTTGTTGATCCTAATTAAACCTTCCAAAATGTTAATCATTTAGTTAGTCAGTATTAATCCTTGTGGAAACTGACACCATTGTGTATCAGTCCAATTCATCACACGTTGCGTTATTTCGGCCAAAGGGAATGAACAATCTGAGAAGAAGAAGAAGAAGAAGAAGAAGAAGAAGAAGAAGAAGAAGAAAGGAAATAATTTTAAATGTAGTGAAAATCTAAACAAGTGAAATACATTACGATAAATGTATGGGATATTTGGAATGAGATTTGACTAGTGAATAAAAAAATGTAGATAATGAATGCTACTGTGCCATTGTGACTGCATTTTGCATGATAACGCCTTCAATATTACTTTATTCTATCGCATACATTTATCAGTGTTCCCAGCTGTTTTCGTTTATTTTAAACAATATGTATAACGGTTGGTCACTGCAAAACAGTAAAATTTGCTTGAACCAGAATTTAAAAAGTTAATATTCTTGGAAATATCTTTGCATCACATCAGTTAGTCAAATAATTTTCACAGTCGAATTCATGAGTTGATTCAAGCTAGACCATCACTGAAAGCGCTAAAGTACTGGATGGCCGTTCTGTCCCAGTATAGGACTCTCCAGCAGTGCGCATATACAATCCCGCACACGAGACTCGGACCAGGGACCTTCGGTCACGCGCGCGAAGGCTTAGCCTCTAAACCATTAGCTTCAATTGACTTGTGAATTCAACTGTGAGAATATTACAATCTCCACGAATCTCCATACTGAAAATAATTTTCAGTAAACTTTTTTTTGTCAGTTGGCATGTGAATACGTTCTAGGATTTACTTACTTACTTACGCCTGTTACTGCTCCTGAAGGAGCATAGGCCGCCTACCAACATTCGCCATCCAACCCTGTCCTGGACAATCCTTTTCAGCTCTTTCCAGTTGTTATTCATCTTTTTCGTGTCTGCTTCTATTTCCCGACGTAATGTGTTCTTTGGCCTTACTCTTTTCCACTTCACTTCAGGATTCCAAGTTAGGGCTTGCCTCATGATGCAGTTCGATGATTCGTGTAATGTATGTCCTATCCATTTCCATCGTATTGTCCTAATTTTTTCTTCAGCTGGAAGTTGGTTTGTTCTCTCTCACTGTAGGCTGTTGCTGATGGTATTCAGCCAATGGATGTTGAGTATCTTGCGAAGACAGCTATTTATAAATACTTGTACCTTCTTGATGATGGTTGTTGCAGTTCTCCAAGTTTCAGCTCCATATAGTAGAACACCCTTGATGTTCCTATTGATATTGGTTGAAAGTTTTGAATTCCATATGTTCTTCAATCGAAGGAATGCGGCCCTTGCTTTGCCAATCCTTGCCTTTACGTTTGCATCTGAACCTCCTTGTACATCGATGATGCTTCCCAGATATATGAAGGATTCTACATCTTCCAGAGTTTTTCCATCAAGTGTGACTGGGTTGGTGTTCTCCGTGTTATAGTTGAGGATGTTGCTTTTTCCCTTGTGTATTTTGAGGCCTACTGATGCAGAGACTGCTGCTACACTGGTTGTCGTGACTTGCATTTGTTGATGTGTGTGGGATAGGAGGGCTAGATCATCTGCGAAGTCCAAATCGTCTAATTGGTTCTGAGCTGTCCATTGTATTCCGTGTTTTCCCTCAGATGTTGAGGTCTTCATAATCCAGTCGACCACCAGAAGAAAGAGAAAGGGAGAGAGTAAACAGCCTTGTCTGACTCCGGTCCTTATTTGGAATGCATCTGTCAGCTGTCCTCCATGCACGACCTTACACTGTAGTCCGTCGTATGAGTTCCGGATAATGTTGACAATCTTCTCAGGAACTCTATAGTGTCGAAGAAGTTTCCATAATATTCTCCTATCAACACTGTCAAATGCTTTTTTATAATCAATGAAGTTGATGTACAGTGACAAGTTCCACCCAACTGATTGTTCGACAATGATCCGTAGTGTCGCAATTTGATCTGTGCACGACCGATCGTTACGGAATCCGACCTGTTGATCTCGAATTCGGGCTTCTACTGCATCTTTCATCCGGTCCAGCAACACTCTGTTGAAGACCTTCCCTGGTATTGACAGCAGTGTAATGCCTCTATAGTTTTCACATTTGCTCAGATCTCCTTTCTTTGGAATCTTGACGAGGTGCCCTTCTTTCCAGTCCATCGGCACTTGCTCCTCTTCCCAAATCTTTTTGAATAGAAGGTGAAGCATGTTTGTAGTTGCTTCGATGTCTGACTTCAGTGCTTCAGCTGGTATGTTGTCCGGACCCGCTGCTTTCCCGTTCTTGATTTGTCTGACGGCCATTCTGATTTCTTCCTTCGTTGGTGGGTCGACGTCTATGGGAAGATCTGTGTGTGGCGCTTCGATGTCCAGTGGATTCATTGGAGCCGGTCTATTCAGGAGTTCCTCGAAGTATTCTACCCATCTGTTTCGCTGTTGTTGAATTTCAGTGATTAGCTTGCCTTCTTTGTCTTTGACCGGTCTCTCTGGTTTACTGTATTTCCCTGCTAGTTTCTTCGTTGTATCGTAGAGCTCTTTCATATTTCCTTCTCTAGCAGCTTTTTCTGGCGTCGTTGCTAGTTATTCCACATATTTCTGCTTGTCGGCTATAATGTTCCTCTTCACTTGCTTGTTTGCTTCTGTGTATTCAGCTTGTGCTTGAATATTCTCTGCTCGTGTTCGGCTGTTGCTGATTTCTGCCTTCTTGTTCTTCCTTTCTTTGATCTTGTTCAGTGTTTCTATAGAATTCCATTCTTTATGATGATGCTTGTTGAGGCCAAGAACATCCTCACACGTTGGAGTTAATGCTTCTTTGATACCTTTCCAGTTGTTCTCCATAATAGTTTCTTCTTCCCTCAGTAGATCTTGTAAGGCTTGGAACCTGTTGTTGAGAGCTATCTTGAATTCATTGAGTTTGTCAGTATCTCGAAGGAAGGCTGTATTGAACCTTTGTATTGCTGTTTGTCCAGTTGTCCAGTTCTTCTTTAGCTTCAGTTTTACACTGGCTACAACTAGGTGATGATCTGAAGCTATGTCAGCCCCTCTCCTGGTTCTGCCATCTTCCATTGTCCTTCGGAATTTTTTATTGATGCCAATATGATCTATCTGGTTCTCTGTAGTGTGGTCCGATGAGATCCATGTAACTCTGTGTATACGTTTGTGTGGAGATATTGTACCTCCTATGACCAATTTGTTGAATGCACATAGGTTTGCAAATCTTCCCCATTTTTGTTTCTCTGTCCCAGTCCATGTCGTCCCATGATATCTTCATACTCGGTGTTGTCTATTCCGACTTTGGCATTTAGATTTTCCATTAGAATGGTGAGCTCCTTTCTTGGGTATTTCTTTATGATTGACTGCAGCCTATCGTAGAATTGATCTTTAATGTTGTCGTTGCTATCATTGGTGGGTGCATAACATTGGATAATATTCATTAAAATTCCCTCCTTCTTCGTTTTGAATGATGCTTTGACGATTCTGGATCTGTGAGATTTTCATCGTACAAGTGCATTTCGTGCTACTTTGGACAGCATTAGAGCAACTCCCTGAGTGTGTGTGTAGCATTTTCCTCTTTGTGACCGGAGTATAGCAGCATCTCTCCCGTAGCTAACCCCATGCTCAACCCTCCTCCGTTAGTCGGGTTTGGGACCGGCAGTAACTCTATATAGCTACTGGCGGAGTTGTTTAAGGTTTAAATTTTACCGGAACAATATATGTATATATAAGTATGTATTTGGCCGTAAATAGATACTATATTATTATACTTTGCTAAAAAAAAAACTCATTTCAATGCAAATTTAGAAAAGAAAACCATATAAAGATAAATTGTTCACTTAAATACTTTCAATTAAATGATTTAAATTTATATTCTTTTGTGATATTTACAAAGATTAACTTAAATCCTAATGAATTAATTTACTCTTGATGGATGAATGAATTTATGAAGAAAACTAAAATGAACAGTATACAACTTAGTGTTTGTTTAATTAATTAAGCAATAAAAGAAAACACTATAGAATTCAGTAAAACAACATTGAAATGTTTATCAAAATATTTGTTTGTTATTTTCAAGCAACAATGAAATAGTTCTGGCTTTACATTGGGATTATAAAATACAAGAAAATTTTATTCACATTAACAATTTCTTTACAATGTAAAGATTAACTCTGTTTTTCAATGTCTGAAATAGTGATATAATGTTTCCCTCTCTCTCTCTCTTTCTTTCTTTCTTATCACCCTGTAAAAATAAGTATATATATTTGCGATTGTACAGCTTTGAAAATGAATTCGCTGAAAAGAGAACTCTTCGCTGAACTAATCTTTCTTTCTTAGAAGAACCTGGTTATTGGATTATATTAATTATATAATATTATGGATAATTATTTACTTCATTTATTGATTAATATCTAACGAATATAACTTATCTATCCAATATTTGTGTTAAAATTGATATAACAGTGTTTATTATTTAAATATAGAAAATAGATTCACATATTGAATATGATACAAGTGTAGGGGAATTTTCAAAATATTCTATTCTATCATACCAATATAAATTGGATAATAAGTCAAAAAATGTAGCTTCATATAGAATAACTAGTTGACCTGATTATAGTTTCTTATTACAATCGACTAAATTAATTCATAATAAAGTTAAGCTTAGTTTATTGTTAATTAAATAATTCAGTATTATTTAATTAATAATAACTTAATACGCGTAATGATTTAATAAATTTTCTTTTCATTCGAATAAATTACACATTCAGTATATTTTTTTAATGTTTTATTTATCATAAATCTAAGTAGAAGTCTTCCTTTAGATGGTGGTTGGAGGTAGTCAACAGGAAATCCTGGACCCGGGTTTCGTGCTACTTGGCACTCGTCAGCAAGGTGTACCTGTAATCTTGAGGGAACTGGTGCTATTACTTCATAATGAATAAATAGTTATTGCACGAATTTCACACATACAATGTTAATCTTGAACAACATACAAAGAAAAAAACAACATATGTACAAAGTATTTGGATGCAATATCTGAGTTTTTTTCAACTACCTTATGTTAACTCTCATGATCAACTCTCGTGATCAATCAATTGTGATTACATCTCAGTCCTACAGGAGGTTAGTCACGGCTCGGATAGCTCAGTGGTAACGTCTCTGACTGTGAAGCTGGGTGACACGAGATCGAATCCGCTAGGGAGCACCAGTTCCCTCAAGATTACAGTTATACCTTGCTGACAAGTGCCAAGTAGCACGAAACCCGGGTCCTGTAGACTACCTCCAACCACCATCTAAATCTCAATACATAGCGCCCGCATTGTCGAGTCATCTAGACTGGTGGCCACATTGCAGCATGATCGATAGCATTCGATCTGCACTAATAAGGACTAGACAAGCATGATATTGATCACCACCCAGTGATCAATCAATTGTGAGAAGTTCTCCTAAAACAATTAGACTGTATTTTCTCTGCATTGCCTAAGCAATAGCCATACATCTGGAAAAACCAGAATTATGTGTGCAAAAGAGACTGGTACAACCTCTTATTCTACCATGGTCTTAATGTATTAAAATTTTTCTTTCTTTTTCATACTATTGTTCCTTTACAGCCATCTGATTCACCTTCCATCTTCCCTTTAAAACTTCTTCTCCACCACCCCCAACTGTGTTTGTTTTTAATTCCACGATCATTCCCATTACATTTCATCTCTGTCTCAACATTTTATTTTATCATGCTGAGCCATCCTTTCCCAATGATATTTTCCCTATCTATCTTTTGATGAATACTTAAGCCAATAGCAATCAAACGATTATTAAACTTTCTTTGTTTTAAAATCTTTTTTTATATTTTAATGCCTTTGTTTATTTAACCTCACTGTCACCATGTATAACAAGTTTATTATCAGTATTATTATCATCCTGTAAAAATAAGTATATATATTTGCGATTGTCCAGCTTTGAAAATGAATTCGCCGAAAAGAGAACTCTTCGCTGAACTAATCTTTCTTATTTAATAAATTCAGTCGTCGGTCTTGAAGAATACCACAAGACATTGTCAATTTATTTAAATTACCATTTTTTTGTATTTATCGCTTTAGAAATTTACTGTTACTATGCTTAATTATATGGGAGTATGTCATTTTGCACTTTGTAATAATTTGTATTTATCAAGTGCTTTTGTGTAAATCAAATAATTTCTCACGTTAATTTCTTCAGTTCTAGAAAAGATAACCAGTTTAACAGCTTTTTAGCTACTTGTATATTAGATCCTGACTTATAAATATTAAAGAAACTGCTCTTGATCTTTAAATGAAATAGTTGTACTCATATTACTCGATTTTATATACTTTCTTTCTATTCTAATCCGGTTGGTAAACATGAAGAGGTTTGTTTGTCGAAAAAAATAATTAAGTCTGAATAAGATAATTTTCATGACTGATTCTAAATCAGTTATCATTTGTTTTTGGATGATATCATCATATTAAGATAGATATCAGCAAATCGATCCTTGACGGATAAATACGTGATTGTTTACTCCATTATGAGTAACGCTGTAAATAGTTTTTGATAGAGAAATTTGGCAAACTTTAGATCTATTTGACTTCGTAAGGAGGTATTATTGAATATTAAGGAAGGTAAGACAGTTGTTTCATTCTAGCTTATGATTTATTGACAGTGTGCAATCGCATCACCGCAGAGTTTTGAACCAAGGGCCTTCAATTGTCTCAAACGAAGCCTAATCACCGCACAGCTGAGCTAGAACCAAGTGTTTCGCATTATCTAGTTTGATCTATATATGATATAGCGCGAACAAAAGGTTAGCAATTAGATTTGGAGTGAGTGGTAAAGACGTGCTTGTATAAATCATAATAAATAAACTTTTTGAATTATGTATTGATCACCCTAAATTTCCATCAACAAGATCGTAACACTTGCTATCGCATTATTAAATTTTCTAATCTATTTTAAGGTACTGTTAAAATTGATCAGGAAACTGGTACACACTTACTCAATGGAATTAATTGGTTAGATAGTTGGCTAAGAATTCATAGACTGGATAAACATAAACGTCCGTTGAATATATTAATTCAAGTTGCAAATTTATTAGCTACACCTAGAAAACAACTTCTAAAGGTTAGTTTACGCATTTATTTAAACAGTATTTTTATTATTATTTTTGGTGACTCTGATAATTTTAGATTGTTTGAGAAACGAAACAAGAACGGTTACCTGATATCATTTTTAGGAAGATATGCTATAGTTCTTTAGAAAAATGATGAGCCAACAATATAACACCTATCCTTCATTAACAACGTCAAGGACTTAATAGATCTTAATTAAATGTTTGGACAAGCTATTCAGTTATTTAAAAAAATTCGCAGTCGTTTCTGGGCGAATAAACACTTCACAGGTTGAAATCATGAGTCAATTGAAGCTAGACCACCATGGAAAACCTGGAAGCACTGGACTGCCGTTTCGTCCTAGTATGGGACTTCTGCTGTGAAATTTCCTAAAATCTCCACAAAACTCATTCTGCGAATAAACACTTGTCAAAGAAGTAATGGAAAATGGTGGAAACTGCATACGTATCTGTGTTTATCCACTGTAGAAAATGAAATACTATATATTTTTCAGCTTTTTAACGTTTGTTTGTCTTCATTTCGTTGTACCTAAACTATTTCAATCCATTTGTTACCCTTTCAACTAATTAAAATGAACAAAAATTTTGTATTTAGAGAATTTTCTAAAAATTTACAGTACTTACTGTTTGCTAGTAACAATGATTCGTTCGCACATTCTGAAGAAAAGAAATATCTGAACTAGAAGTCACTGAAAACTATTAAGTTATAAGTAGCTGTAATCACTGGTTATCAGCGTTAAAGTGATTTCTCGACGTTTTATCAAAACAGTTTCAGTGATTTTACCTACTGACAATAATTAAACAGTTATCACTCATTACATAGAATGAATAATGAACTTTTTTCGAAAGAAATGAGATTAGAAATGTAAACTTTTGGATTTCAATGTACCAGTCCAATGATACCTTGCTCATAGTTGAATCTGAAAGTTCTGAAGTTGTTCTCGCGTTGAATCGTGGTGTGTACTATTAAGAAATTTTAAAGTAGAACAAAGAGAACTTCTGGTGATTTTTTTCCCTCAATTTATATTCAACTAAATTTTGTCCATGAAGTTTTACACAAGTTTTCATCCTTGATAGTTGAGTATATAACTGTGATGAAATTAAATAGTCACTTTTAATGAAATAGTGACATGAAAATATACTAGAAAAAATCACCTTTGAAGTATATGTCAGCAACACAACAGAATACTATTACCATACAACTGTTTACCAGTAAATGCCTAACTGATGTTGTCCAGGTGCCGGCCTAAATGTTTAGATTTCTCCCTTTTTTAATGAATTTGAATTAGGTTTTGTCATTCGAGACTTTAAAGTGACGCTAATTCCTAATTTTAAATTACCCAATAATACCTCTGAAGGATAGCACAAAGTGGTGTAAACAATTAAAAGTTCTGATGTTTTGTTAATTGCATAACTCAAATATGTAGGTAAAATAATTTACCCGAAAAATGTTTAGCTTAAAATATCTGTCCTTGTAATTTTAGCCTAAGTGATAATTAAAATTTGTATGGTGAAAACTGATAAAATCAGTATAGTGTAATTGATACAATGCTTATGTAATCACTTACGTTATCTTACATTTGACATTACCCTTCCGTTAGGTCTAATTTTACAGTTAGCAAATGTGAATAACATTGTAAACACCAGTAATTGGTATAAATAAATATGTACATTCAAGTAAACAAAATTTCAGTGCTTTTAAATGATTTTTGAAGAAGATTGATAAAATTCTTGATGAGAAGATTGAATATTAACAATGTCAAAAGCTAGGTGGTTGCCCAGTTGTCTACCTCCTCCTTCCCAAACATTATATGATAACTTTGTAAATTGATTGAACTGAAGTAATGTGCATTTACGATCAAAACTTGTTTCAATTTAGACAAATATTTAATATATATGGGTGTAATTTTTTAGTTTACTTTAATTAATAGTTTTTTTACATAGGATTTTTACTTTTGTGGATTTTTCCGAATCATTCGTCTAGAGTCGCATTGGATTCACGTCTAAAGTATTTTGTACATTGTACACCAGTGTACAACCAGTACAAAGTTTAAGTTTAAACAGTTTTACCTAATCCAAGAACCAATTAAAACGTTCATTTTAATTGTTGTATTGTTTATATATGGAACCTAATGATGCTGAAGCATTTTTTTTCTGTAAATTCAGTGTTAGATACAAGTTTTAACAACCTCATTCTCAAGAAGTAAGCGTTTTGAAGATAATGCTTCTAATGTTTATGATATTAGGTGGAAGTTTTACATTAAAAAATCTTAAGTGAACAACATCTCTGAATGGAAAGGGGTAAAACCAATGATGAGAAGTTATGAATAACTTATGAACAAAGTCGCACTCATATTAGACTATTTGGTTTACATAAAATTGTTTGTTATAGGGCTTCTCATGATAGGAAAATAAACACTCTTTAACATTTAGGGGATTTTACTAAATTTCAAATGAAAAAGAAACATATATTTTCAACAGTTAACCCTTACATTACTTCAAAATAAATACTACACATTATAGTTACTTCAGAGTGCTTTATTTAAATGTAGAAAGTTGTAATCACTTATGCACATATTGATTCTAAACACTATCTAACTAATTAGTAAACTGAATTCCAATAAGTGAGTTATTATTTCAATTCTAATATAGTCTCCATTAGTTATCTGACTAGATAATCTATATTTTATTCTTAATTACTTTTGCTTAGCTTCAATTAGAAACATTTATAACTTTTAAAATGTTTCTAAGTATTCTCTAAACACTTATATGTTTGTCAATAAAACTGTATATTTTGAATTAAACTATATTTTTAAGTGTTTCATATTTTATTATGTTCCTATGATTTAAGTATAGTATAATAACATGAATTGAAGAACATGAAACAGTGTACGACTTATTGATTAAGTTAAACACTATCTGATATTCTTATATTCTGAAAGTGAAAACAACAACCATAAATAATACCTGAACTTAAGTACTGAACTATCATTCAGTGAAGTGATAGATAGTTTCAAGTGTTGTATAGCTTGTCTTAGATTGTCTGAGTTTAGAAAATATCTTTTTTTCCATTCATTTAAATTACATTATATATATATATATACGCCTGTTACTCCCTATGGTACATAAGCCGCTGACCAGCATTCTTCAACCCACACTGTCCTGAGCCTTCCTTTCTAGTTCTATCTAATTGTTGTTCATACTTCTCATGTCTATCTCCGTTTCTCCGCGTAATGTGTTCTTTAATCTTTTTATTTTCCTTTGGCCTTGAGGATTCCAAGTGACGGTTTGCCTTGTGACGCAGTTGGGTGCTTTCCTCAATGTGTGTCCTATATATATAACTTGATATGTTGGTAGATTAGTTTTTGAGACACGAAACATGAAATTTTCGTCGAAATAACATTTTACTCTTGGATATTACTCAGTAAATTTCATATACAAATAAGAATTACAAAGAGTATTTAATTAGTTTTAACTTAGTTTTTCATGTGACAAAAATTATACGGTTTGTAGTTTTGTTAAATGAATTAATAGAATGAGTCTAATGTTTATAAAATTGACTGAAACAAGAACAAAATGTGAGGCAGAAAGTTATGATTTCATTTTATTTCATCGGTTTTCGTCAGCGGTGTGTTCATATGTACGATCATTTGAAGATTAAATACAAAATACAAAACAGTTTAGGCATTCAATATTTAAAACCTAAAAATTGACAGAACAGGTTGTTTATAGATTATGAAACTAATGAGAATTTAATTGCATAGTGGATGTAATTGCCGTTTACCTAAGCGAAGATTGGATAAAAATACAGAAAATGTTGCTACGAACAACAGCAATAGTAACTGCAGTGGATGTCATTAAAATATATCAGCTTATCATGCCGATGTTAAATTTATAGGTATCTATTTCTAAATGCAGAATATGATTCGACTTTTTTTTAGGTTGATACAGTTTCCGAACAGCTCCTTGAATGAGCATACTTTTCGCAGTTCATTATTTCGAGTGATCAAAAAAAGTAAAAAACATGCTTTTTTATTGACTAATTGTTGAGCTACTTGACTGTTTAAGATTGTGGCACCTTTGGTTTTCTAGTTCTTCAATACTTGATTCGAGATGAGTCAACGGATATTTCTCTTCAGTCTCCCAATTTATACGACTTTGCATGTACGTTTACGTCCATAAATACAGTTGAAGGTACAGAAAGAAGATCTGTTAGTTTTTGTATATTTTAGGAATCATTTCGTCTCACATTTCATGGATAGCATTTCAAATGATTAAGCATTCTTTAGCACAGCATTTATTATGTGATTAACGATTAAAGCAATTTCATCAGATGAGTTTAATTTATCTTTCTGTTGATAGTGTGCCTGAGTTAGTTGGTAGGTGCAGCTTTGAAAAGTTCGAGAGTATAAAACGGCAATCATATTCCAAGCCAGTTTGAAAACTCCCTTGTATACTCTTTTGAAAAATCAAATGTTTAAATCACACATTTTGATTTCCATGATATTTTTAGTAGAGTCAAGAATATCGACAGCAAGTTTTATACTATATATTACTGACTAATTGAAGTTCTTGAGATCAACTTATTTCGTTCTTCTGTTTGCATATTAAGATCTAGATAATCTGAGCAGCTTGTCCAAAGTCGATCTCACATTTTTCAACACTTTATTCAGTAAAATCACACCAGTAATCTAACTTGTTGTATGAAGTTAATTTTTATCCTAAAGTTTGAATACCTTGTTGCGGAGCTTCATTCCAGATTGGTAAAACACTCTCTTGATAGATAAATCAACATAACTTAATCATTGAGTATGAAGGGGTTGGTATGGTAGGTTTAAACATAGATAATAATCTTTTGTACATACCATAGAAAATTGTTTTCACATTGTTTACTCTGTGCTACTGAGCAAACACTGTTTTAGCAACTAAAATTAGTGAGTGGAGCGAAGTAACTATGATGGTGTAGATTATACTACTTCCTGTTATTTGTAGGTATTTAGTTCCGTAAAGTAATCAATCTTTAATAATACTAAATACACTTGTTTGTCAATAATTTTAATGTAGTTGTTTCATTTTCTCAATGAATAATTTAACACTGAAAAGAATTTCTTTAACTAAACTGTGTACAAGAACATGTTGTATATAAAGTGGAATAATTCACTCTAACTTGCCTGTGTGTTCATTCATTTGACCCATGACCTTAACGTTTAAGTTAATATTTATGGTAAATGAATGCATGTATGTGTGTATTATTGTTTATCTATATATAAATATGAAAATAGGTGCGAAACTTCAAGAAAATGTCTTTTTCTCATTGATCAATAGATGTTTTATTGAAATGAATACACTATTGATCGATCGCGCTAATATTGAACTGATATGTTAATTTGGCATGAGAAATGTTTACTAAAAATAGTCTATTCATATATATGATTTATTGTGTAATCTTTTTTTTAATATCAACAGAGAATAGTTTAGATACTGACTCATATGAATTAAGTGTAAGAGAAACTTCTTTATTTATTTGTTGTCATGGTTGCGACTAGGAGTGGATTTTTTTTGGAATCAAGACTTCGTTTTACTCTCTGTTAGATATTTGTTTTCTTGTGATAGTTGTTAACGTATTGGCGTCTACAATCCGCAAAATATGTGTTTCTTTAATTCGATTTATACCCTCCTACTAATTAGAATCAAATAATGTCAGAGCATTATGGTTGGTTGTTTGCAGTGCAATCAACCTGTTAAAAGATTATTTATTATAAAATAGTAACCTGGAATCAGTTGGTATTTTGCGAATCCTAGTTTAAACGATATTTAGACAAACAAATAACAAATTGCAAGTTTTTAGCTGAGTAGCGCGTGACAGCAGTTTTATGTGTATTACTATCATATTTTCATTTCATTAATGTATTATTGACTTTAAAATTTCAGCTGATTGGGAATGTATTTGCGCCGAATTGCAAATTGATAACAGCTGAAGAATATCAATGTACATGTCAGTATTCATGCACTCCAAAATAAAGTTCTGCTGAATAATCCCTAAACATCATAGATAAAACTAAACTAGGACTTACTACAAAAAATCTGATTCGACACAGCCTTCTATAGCTTCCTCATTTAAATGATTTTTTAATCAATATTAGATTGTGATGAATTAATGAATAGGAATTCTTTTCCAAAAAGCGATTACAACCGATTGTAATCGAACTCTAAATAATTGTTGAGAGTAATTCGCATTAAAAAGAGAAATTTCGCTAAACTTAATAGTTCTGGTGTTTTGATTATTTATTTACGAGTAGATATTTGGTCTTTTGCTCGATTCCCCTCTAACTGAGCGTTATTGACTAGAAGACAGCTTCCAGACACTAAGCTTGCTTTCGGAGAAATCGGATTGCAATTTTTTCTAAATCTACTGATTATTGATTGCTGAACATTTTAATATTTAACTATATTCAATGTCGAAAACCGGTAATTTTTGCCAGTAGAAATCGATTAAATATCCTGTTCAGTGGCTTCATAAAACATATTGGTTCTCTGTCGAGAGTTGATATATTTTGTGGCTCTACCTACTTTAAGCACCACTAAATAATGTTAAGGTTTTCAAATAAAATGCTGAAAAACCTCAAACAAGACCACTAAATTAAAATCCAAAATTATTCATTCATTTAATTTCATGTAAAACTACTTCTGATTAATCCTTGAAGAACTTAAGATGGTTATATGACTGTGTCGTAATTTTGGATTACCATACAAAGGAAGTTTCGACTGAAATGATAATCTTTTATTTGAGATAATCGTGGTAGTTAGAAATACCATCATCAGCTCTTATTTGGCTATGTAAGTCTGAATTTTCGTCTACTGAAAATAAATCGTTTATTTGAATATTCGGAAAAAATTAGTCTAATCTATTTCTCTTACTTCAGATGACTTGGAATGAAATGCGAGAAGCTTATTCTTACATCCCACCTGCTCTGTTACGATTTTTATTGGAAGAATATGAGGAAGGATTCGGTGCACAGAATGCGAACAGTTGGAGTATTGATGAAAAAGATGCAGCAGTGGTAGACGAAGATCGTAAGCAGTTTTTGTTTTAATATCTTTGATATAAAAATTTTATTACTTCTTATATGACTATTTATCTTCAAAGTGGTGTTGTGTAAAAGCTTTGCTAGCGTCAGATTAATGAAAACTAACAAGCAATTATTTTATCCTTCAAATTCCCTTGAACCTTTGACAGTTCCTTCTAACATACCGTAAAATAACAATAGCAATGAACAATGAGTTTGTCAGTTTTGTCAATCTTGACGGTTGGTCCGCAATTAATCACAACTTATTGTTAATATGGTATAAGTGGTGACAAGACTTAGTGAAATTACAATAAGCTTTTAGTATGAGGGCATAATTTTCTATTGTTGATATTCCGGAATACATTTGATGATTTTTTTATTTTCATCTGTACGTCATGAGTAGACCGCCTTAGCATAGTGCTACGTTACACATTATCTTTATAATGCCTTCATCCTCGTTGGATAAGTTGACATTTATCTCAGCTCAGTAGCTTAGCAGATTACACGTTAGCGTTTAGAGCAAAAGAAATTGGTTTTCAGTCCCACTACAAACATTAAAATTAGGATTCAGTTGTATCCAGATGAAGAGGCTCAGGTGGGATGAAACATACATCCTGTATGTAACTAGTAAGCACATTATGAAACATTTAATGTCAATATTTATTGTCCCATAAAATATAGATACACAAGAATCTTAAGTTTCTGCTTACCTTACATTGCAAAATCTTCAAACGTTTACAATAAAGAGGTAGAGTTATTTCTACAGAAGCAGCTTGATAAGTCCCTCTCTTTAGCAACTGCTTAGTTTCATCATATCTTTCTGTTAATGTTTTGTGAATGTATCTTTATTTTGTCTTACTATCAGTAAATATATTTTACTTGTAACGTTTAATCATCACTCATATTATATGTTCTTCACTTCAAACTTTCCGTTGATGACAGTATTTCTAATCTGCTTTTTATAATGTGAATAAATACTTATTATTTTGCGAATTCTATCTTCTGTAACCACTTAACTGAAGCAATGTAATCAGTTTCTGACCACAGATCTAAAAAAAATAGATTTTTAGTTAGAAGTTTTAACACAGATTGAACTAATTTGTAGTTCGTTTCCGTTAGGGTATAACACCAATTACGGTACCATTAAAAACCAGGTAATGGAAGACATCAGTTTTAACCTAATATGACACTTCTTAGCAGCTACTATCTACTACTTCGTTAGGGGGTAAATCTAGAACAGTTAGACCTTATGGAAGAGATTGACTTTTGGGTCACTGAGGTGTAATTCCCTGGTTCACATCTTTAGCTTCTGGTGGAAGGTCATGATGGCTGGAGTTTAGCTGTCACCTTAAGAGAGTCACTACAAATCTCCAAATAACAAACAATTTTTTTAAATGACTCATAATTTACCGCATACTTGTGCTATTGTGAAGGATTCAAAATGTGGTGTGTTCAAAAGTATTTCTTCTCTAAATCCTTAATTTTCAGAACATGGAAGTCAATACTGGATAGAGTTTTCCCATAAAAATCCTTTTTTCAAACAGAATATAGGAAAATTTTTTAGATGAACAGTAGCTTTTATTCTTACTGTAAACCAAATAAAGTTAATGGGGTTTTTTAAATCTAAAAAGTCTGTTATAAACAAATTAGACCAGTATTATCATTTGCAGAAAAATGGCAATTCATTACATTAATGGTTCCTAATAGTGTTACCTTTAATTTCACTTCGTGACAAGCATTATATTTTAGAATGACGAAATTCGCAGTCATTTTCAATTGATTCCATGGCTAAAAAGGTGGTGACAGATTTTAATCATATCTAGTTCATATGGTATATAGGTTATTTCTAGTTATTACTAAACCACGAACGTAAGTCGTTTTGAAGATCATTGAATTCGATAGTAGTGTACATTATTTTATGTTTCTTATCATTTATTAATCGGCTTGTCTTAACGTTTCCCATGGCATATTTTCTTTTCAGCTACTGACTTAATCGAAATATCATTAAAAGGATGGAGATCTAAAGAGCGGTTACTTCCAGGAAAAACATATGCTAATCAATCACCTATTTATAAACCTGTCGATCCGTATGGTTTGTGTAACCAGAGTGCTATGCAGACCTGTATTAATCAATTAGATGGAAAATTATCTGGTATGTTCACATGTTTAAAGGATTAATGAATGCTTTTTTTCACTTACGATCAAAGTTCTTCGTTATTAATGAAGAGATATTTTATCAAAAGAGTGGTCGTAAATGTCACTGCTGTTGTAATTACGAGTATTTTTCAAAAAGTTGGTGGCGAGACTATAATTTATGGATAAACCAATTGGATTTAGGATAGCGAGTCCTGAATTTTAGTGAGAAATTCAGTCATCCATATGATTAAATAGCATTTCGGTATTACACATCATGTTAGTTGGTGATTAAAACCCTAAGTCTAACTTATAACCCTAACGTTTAACTCTAAATTATAATTCAGATTTCTCACAACAATTGATAACCCTCTCTAGAACCTAGTAGGTTAACGAATTTTCTCAACGTCATCCAAATTTCGTCAATAAATTACCTTGTAAATCACTGGCATAGTTTCAAACTGACCTCAGTAGTTCAGATGCATTCTTTCATTTTTCACTTAGAGATCTTGAGTTTTAGTATTATTCCGCACATTTAGTTCCTTTATTTCACTCCCTAATTTTTAGTTGTATTCTTCCATATTATTGTTGATACTACCAATATTTAAAATCCTTTATATTTTTTTCTGTGAATTTTGTCATACTATCTCCATATGTTCTAGGGCAACTTGAAACGATGAAGATACGTTCTAGGTCACACGTTTGCTGGTCCCGATTATTTTTTGATGGACTATAAAAAGTCAAATAAACTTCGTATAAACTTTTCTATGGGTCTGATGATCTGTTTTTACAGCTTTGTAAACAATAGGGGTATTGTTAATTAGACATAATCATGATACTGGGTATTAGTGAAACTGAATATTAGCTTTTGGTCATGTGTCGGCAGATTATCAACTAAGGATTCACATGTTAACATGAACCTTCGATTTAAAGTATGTTAATAAAATGATATTGTAGCCGTTAATTGATCTAGAAGTCACGAATCATAACTAAGAATGTGTTGAAAGAGTAATTTTGAACTACATATTATCTCTTACTGCTCAACAATAAAGTAACCTGTACAGAATCACGTAATAATCATATCAAATATAAAGAACAAAATGAGGGTGATAGAAAGGTAACTACTCACAATAATGAGTTTTACATGTTATAAGGAACTTTATTACTATAAATTATAATAAATAACAAGAATACATGGAAAAAATCCATTTCATTTTAGATATGGTAAGCCAAAATAGTGTGCTCACGCAAAATACATGACAACTTTAATTGAAGGAACGAGGTTACACTGATTAATAGAGACAAGCTAAAAACAGCAAAGTAGGTTATTTCAATAATAAATAACGTAGAACCTAACAATAATTTAAATCGCTTCAGGTTACGACTCTGCATCATTACTATGAGAAAAAAACGAATTATTCATTCAAATTATACCACTGGTTGTAGTAAACCAAACTTTTTAAATATAGTTCGGAAGAAACTAATGGAATAGGGAGTGAAAAGTATGAAAAAAACATATTATGTTTAAAATTTAGTGTAATATAAAGATTGAATGCATTCACATTACTGTGTTCGTTTTTAGACCATGACACATAGAATCTCTAAGTAGAGTGATGTAATACAACTGGCTAATAGACTGAAGATTTATTTACTCAAATTTGAACCATATTTTCCAAATAAAGGATCAAACGGAGTCAGTGGGTTGAGAATCTAACCTGTGACTAAATGGTTGAAATATAGATGCTTGATGCCGCAGTGGAATTTTAAGATGAAATAATTCATTGAAAACGTGACGAATATTCTTTTCCTTTTCAAACATTAATAACACATCATTTGTTATGATTGCGTGGAAACAATTTAAGGATTTAGAAGAGAACAATGAAACACAATTTAATCTGACATCAAATGAAATCTGAAACCATAATCAAATATTTGTATTTTGATGAAAAGCCACACCTTTAAAACTTTGGCATGGACATCAAATAAAATCTTTTCAAAATCTTCATGTACTCATAATTCATTTAATGCACAGTCGGTTAGGTACCATGGTGTTATAAATGAAGAGTAACGCTAAGTAATAATATAAATACTACCCAAGGTAGATCTACAAATGTATAAAAGCTGTCTATTTTCTATAAAGATCCCCAACAGAATAGATCATATTTTGATCTAGTTTGAGACAATCTAGATTTGTGTTGCACCCACAATCCCACATTAGTTTGCCCTCATGGATTACAATAAACATGATGACTTCAAACCAAAATACTCAACATCTTATAACCTAGATTTTCACGTGAGGTCATCTAGTTAACATTTTAAATTACAGATTTTGATTACCATATTAGTTTGTTGTCCTATTTTATAATTTATAATAATAAATTTACATTATTCATCAATATGTGTAATAACAAAAATAATTATTCATTTTATAATGATTTAGCTATTCAATCACCTGTAATTCATTTTCGATGGCAAGAATTAATGCGTGGATTTCCTCCACCGAGAGTTGTGCCACAGATTCATATAAATCATAATCATCCATTTAATCGATCAACAATACGGAATAAATTGGCAATTGCAAATCGTAAACGATTACCAATACGATCTACTAATGGCAGAATGAGTATATCACCTTCAGTGATGAATCAAAATACTACTCTTATAGAAAATTCAGAATTCTCACCTTTGCCAAATAAAACACAAACAAGTCAATTTGACAATTCAATGAAATCAATTGATAAAACTTCTAAATTTTCTAATGATATGAAACCGAAACCATCGAGTGGTGAACCAGTATGGGGTGGTAGTCATGTAAATTCAATATTGTTAAAAAAAAAGATTTGTTTTAGATTTGTTTAGATTATATGGTGATATACCTGGGTAGTGATTTCATTTAAACTCATTGAATCATAAATTCGAATGTTTGACTGAATACATTAAGTAAAACAATTTTTCTTACATAATGACTAATATTAGTCAAGTAATTTCACTAGGTTCAATATTATCATTTGTTCAACGTACAAGAGAGAATTTAACAAAATACCAAGCCACACCTCTTTCAGTTAATTAGTTAGCTATAGGCAATACCTCATCATAAAATGAATTTTTTTAAGTGGTACAAGTGATTAAATCTAGCAAAGTTAAATTTCTTCTTTTATTGAACACCATGGAAAATAATAGTTGAATAAGTTAAAAGTCTGAGAAAATGGCTCAGTCCTTTGTTATATTTTTATTCACTTGAAATAAGTTTTAGACTTAGAAGAAACACTCGCTCAATGTCTCCTGATTTTAAATGATTCTACAGTGGATATCATTTTCTGATATAAACTAACTTCAAATTGAAATATATAGATATATAACTGTTATGACTTTATATCCGGCTTTTTATCACATGCTTTATCCACCAATCAAAATACAATCCTAGCACTGTGCCAAACCAATGAGTTTAGACCGGTTTGGGCAGCTTAGCGTCCTTATTGGTCCTATGTCCGCCTAGTCCGTCCACTTGAGTCCAGAACACCAATACCAGTTTCCACTATGCGAATCGAATTGAATCATTTATTTCAGATATACTTGGTTTATATATCAAGCAAACAGACCACAACGCCCCATAAAATAGGAAATAACATTTGTACACAATAAAGCCAAAAAGTGACTGTGAACGTAGGAGGCAGTAGTCAATAAACTAAACATAACTCAAGAACTGTAAATCATACAATAACAAATTATAGGTTAAAATGCAGCTTATAATAAGAGGAATATAAATGTACATAATCTAATTATTGAATAATTATACCGTAAGAATGTATAGATAATATTAGTCAATTAATATGTCTTAAAAGTTACTCCTGATTTAATCTTCGCTCGGATATAACAATACACATATATATTCCCTTAAAGTTTGTGAAAAAATGGTTTACGTCTTATCATAAAATTAGAACAATATTGCAGTCATTATGATAGTATAATTTTATAAACCAACGAACTAATCTTCCCGAAATTTCTAGTCTTCAGGGATGAACAACCCACAAGATACTAGTATGGATAGTAAGCAAAAAGCACTATACTATCTCAAAGGATTGGCTGCTTCAATTGGTGGCATAGATTTGATTGCTAATGCTAATGGTGATCAAGATTTTTTGTCATCTGAGTCGAAATATTCGAATAATCTTCAAATGGGAAGTAAAGTTAATGACTATCCACAAGAAAATGTTTACCACAGTCAAGTGTTTAATCGAAAGGTTACCAGCCCTCATTGGCAAAATCAAATGTTAGAGACTAACAGGACGGAAATTCCAGTATCTTCTTGGTATCATGATCCTCGACTTCAAGTTCCGAATGGATTATCACAAAGCCTAGGCGATTTTAATAATGGTTTCAGACCCCCCTCAAATGCTCCTTCACTGAGTCGTCTAAACATAGATCAATTAAATGAAACAGCTAATGATTGGAAACAATATCGAATGTCGTTACTGGGTCAAGGATTAGACAAAATTAGAACTTCAAAAGCAGGATCTAGATCAGTTACTCCAAGATTGATATCCAATCGTAATGTGAGCAGTAGCATGTCAAATTTGCCGATAAATCAATTTAAAATTCCAGATATGATTATTCATGAGGCAGCAGATAATATTTCAGAAGTAGTTAGCGAATTAGACCGAGGCAGAGATACAGACTCTGATGCTATGAGTTCTGTTAATTTATTGGATATCAATCCCGAACGAGAACTTAGTGATGTATTAACACGTAGTGGTTTGGGAAATTCTGTTTCAAATGTAACACTTTATAAAGAACCAAACTCTGGTTTCGGTTTAGTGTTAGTTGACGGTGAGGTGAGTTATTTTTGGTGTAAACAACACACTTCACGATAAATTGTTTTTATCTTAAGTATTGTTGAGAATGATACATCTAAAATGAACTCTCTCTCTCTATATATATATATATCTATATATATATATATATATCTATCTATATCTATATATATATATATATATATATATATATATATATATATATATATATATATATATATATATATATATATATATATATATAATATGCGCATAAATAATGCTTCATTATAAGCCTATCATAACAGTTTTGAGTTCTATGAAGATCAATATGATATAAATTTGTAAATTACTTGTAAACAATGCTTGTTTACACTCCATAATTGAAACTTTGTTACTAGAGTTTACTATTTATCCGTTGTTTTATTATCTCATGTTTCCAGAATAAATTATTTCATCATTAGATACGGGGCTTTGCGAAATCGTTTCAAACACCAAAGATCATACTACTGAATAATTTGTACCTTATATCTTGTTCTATAGCTATATCATTTATATTAAGCTACTAAATAGACACTACAAATGGAATATGTATCTTTTAAAATTCATTATGCTTCTATCATTATTTAACAATTTCAAAAACAGAAGCATTACACGTCAAAACATTTAGTTTTTCAGTAAGCTTAAAAACGGGCCTCACTAATTATTGTTAATAATTTTTGTTAATTGGTCAATTTAAGACAAAAAATGTTTTCAAATCTTAACAAGCTTCATATTAGAATGAATAGATACTAGAGGAATGCTCAATAGTAATACGTTCTAGTGCTAAGTGTCTTTGAAACATGCTTACTTAGCAAAGTAACTCATCACCGTAGTCATAAGAAATTAATTTTGAGTTGTTGGAGTCAGTCAATAAGGTATAGTTAGCTTAGGATTCATACTGTTAAACCTTTTACGAAGTCCGATTTATATCGAATAATTAAACAAAATAAAGTTTTCGGCTTACTGTCTTCAGCCGTTCAATGTCAAAATGAAATTGTCATAAATTTCGAGCCTTTTGTTGTAATCATAACTAACCTTCAAATATTTTTTTAGTTTTTCTTGTTTATAATAACTGACCTATTTTAATTTGTTAAATAGCGTACTAGCCTTGATCAACCAGGTATATTCGTCAAATCTGTTGCTCCCAACAGTGTGGCTGAAATGAATGGAACATTTAGACTAGGCGATCGTATTTTAGCAATAAATGGACGCGATCTAACAAGTATGACGTATAAAGAGTGAGTTTTTGGCAGATATTTTTGTTTTGAAAAACATTGTCGCTCTTCTTTATTCTAGGTGCAAATTATTCATTCAACCAAAAATCTTATATAACTGAAAGATATGGCCTTTTACTTTATCAGTCATTCGATTTTAAAATGTAGGCTTAAAGAATAAGGTTCTAGATCATTTCAACCATGAAACTGAGACATCTTGCTGTAAATGAGAATAATTTTTTTATTGTTCTATAACTTATAAATCTTGTGTAACAAAGCAATCCTATAGAGTTCACCTTTGAGCTCATCTATATACTTCTTCGTGTCAATACTTTATAAGTGTATAATCTTTAGACTAATACCTTATAGACTAAATATATTCTGTATTGACTTGGTGTTGTTTAATTGTATCTTCCCATTGTTATTTAGGACTGCAATCAATCAGTCTCTTATTGGCATATGTGCATCCTTTGCGGACTGCCTCGATATTGCCTGAAGTCACAAGCTTCATAAGCAAGGATGAATAGTATGCACATATGCCAACAAGAGACTGATCAGTTGCAGTCCTAAATAACAATGGGAAGATATAAGTAAACAACACCAAGTGAATATAACCTCACCCGATTACACATGCAGGTGGCTATGAGGACTCAGTAGCTAAGTGGATAATGCGAAGGTGTTTGAAGCGAACGGTCCTGGGTTTGAGTCCAAGGGTGGACATCAACTCTGAAATGCAGGTACATCAAGCTGACGAGTCCCAAAAAGGACGAATCGCGCGTCCTGGATTTCAGTGCTAGCCACTATCCATCTTTGTTTATTAATATATTTTGATCTTTATTGTAATCAAATTCATATACTTCGACAACTGAAAAAATTCACTAAACTATAAACTTGATGTTATAATAATACAAGAATAATAATCATCAAAAACTTTATTAAAAGTAAATGACACCATACAAGATTGTTTTACCAGAATTTCCATTTCTTTTTATAGTAATAGGTTACATAATTCATCCATTCAATTATCGATGTTAATGATGTTTTATTAAAATCATTATCATCAAATATTCTTATTTAGAAATAATATCATTTTAAATAACAACATGAATGTCAAGAGTTGATAATGTTACCAAGGGAAATTTATTACCGAAATTTTCTTATTCTGTTACAAGTAGGTCTTGGGAAAAGTCTTTATATATTCAGATGTATTCTATTATTGATACTATTATTTGGCTTTCTTAGTAAAATCAATTTATCATCAAAATAAACTAAAAAAAATTTTCGAATTGTTAGTTTTATGTTTTAATTGTATTCAAATAAATAGTGAACTTATGACTAACACCGATTGTAAAGGAGAAAAGTGAGAATTATGCTCTAGACTATTCTCAACGAAATTGTTGACCGTTTGGCTGCATTACAATTAGTTAGTAATCTTTCATAAGGGAATTCTGATTCAAATGTATTCAGATAAGAATCTTTATTGTTTATATACAGAAAAAAATTTTTCGACAAGGTTTAGATATGGAATATATTGAGTAATCAATGGTCTGCTTATTTCTATTAACTTTTGTGAAATTCATAACATATTATTTAGCTAGAAAACATTAATCAAATAGAAATATCTAGACATTAGCATATCTTTTTGTACAGTTTGTAGCGTTACTGATGTATTAACGTTTTTCATCAACACTTATTCATTTCCAGTGCTCTAGCTCTCTTACGACAATGTGTCAGTCAAACAACTTTCACTGTTCTTCGTTGTAATCTGCCTGACCCAGAAGCTTTGTTGAAACGTAAAGAGATATGAACAGAGCATGTATGAACAGCTATCATAACAAAAGCGACGAATTCATATTTTCCTTTAGACTATATATACATATATGGTTTCTTGGAATTCATTTGGATTTCATTACAGATTCTAGTATTCAGTATTATTTTACAAGTTAATTTCAATTTTAACAACCGGATAAATCCCCAAAATATAAGACGTAGGAAAATTAAAATGAGAGCATCATCTATACTTTTTTTTTCGTTTTGATAAAATATGTTGAACCATTCCTTTTTTCAAAAAAAAACAATTAAACACGCCAAAACTTCCTTCAAATATCTATCTGAACAGAGTACATCTTAAAGAAATAATTTTTCCCTATTATTATTATTATTATTTGAATTTGGGGTTGAACGACAGTAATCCAAGTTGAGAGCATCTTCTTATTGACTAATCTTTTTTTTCTTTATACAATCTTTTCATCGTATAAAATTTGTTTGAAGTATGAAAGCCGTTTTTCTTTCCACCTTAAAGAAGATGATATTTCACACATGGAAGATCTTCATATCTTTACATTGTCTTTTTTTTTAATTCTTATATTCTAACTGTTTTATAAAATCTAAATAACTAAAGTTTACTGACATAAATTAATAATTATGTTAAAGAAAAGCAACAAATCTACATATAAATTCATACATATAATCAACAAATTTATTTATACATATCGTTTATGTATGTTTGATTTTCTTTCTTTTATTTAACTTTTATCTCATTTCAGATAATCGACTTTTTTTTTCTTAAATGAATAATTTTTTTTAGGTATATTTTGATCAGTTTACAAATTTGTTTTATATTTTTTACATCTTTATATACTACTTAAATATTTTTTATTATTATATATTTTAAATAAATTAAAAATAAAGAGTTCTATTAAAAAAACGTTGAAGACAATGTTGTAAGTCCCCTATACTTATTTCATTAATGATCATTAATTTCGTATATGGTATTCTGTTCAGTTGTGGACAGGAACCAATATGACAGTATCAAGTCCGTCTTCACTGACCTGTTTCCCACCCCCAAATGTTTTTAATATCATGGTTTATAGTCCCATGTAATACAGTTACTTGTGATACTTGATAAATCATAGAATAGGGGATAACAATAAAATTACCACTATGAAACTCGCATAGTTTATTAGTTGCCATCAATTTACACTCTACGTATTGGTCTCCGATTTCCTGAATTACGGTTTCTAGGGGGGTGACTGAGCATTTCCGTGGTAATTTAAAACTCATTAGCTTAGATTGGGCTATTTTCAATGAGAATTTCTGGTTTTTTGGTTGGTATTTTAATTCAGTTAGGGTTGGTGAATTGATGACTTTTCTAATTGTAAGGCCTATATTATTCGGTAAATTCTTTCCATGCATTTATCTACTTTACTCATATTCATACAGCTCATTTACATGTGTTTGCCGTTTTTAACTGCTTTCAATTACTAGTCTATTTGAGACTACCAGAATATGTTTTCAATAGGTTTAGAAGTTCCTAGCTCTTTAATCGCAGACGCTAATATTATTTATTTCATCAGGCTTTCCTTTCATTTATTACATCCCCTAAACTCACTTCTGAAATTCGATACGTCTTTGTAAGTTACCTGGATTTATTATGTGCGAAAACAACAAATCACTGAACCCAGCCCAAGAGTTTTAAGCGATTTTACTGATAATAGTTTATGAGAATATAAGGAGATTTTTCCAATTTTCTGTAACACTAACATCAACCACTTGCAACATTCTTCTTTCTTTGTGCGTACAAAATAAAGGTTGTTCAGCGAAAATTAATTTTTTTTATGAATTACCCATGATAGAACACCATTTAAAATATGACACCACATTAGTGGAAATATCAAAGGAAGAAGAACAAGAATAAGCAGTCACGAGTAATGTATTTTAGTTTGTATAGTCACTGGTATTGGTCCCCTTCATTTATTATGTAGATCGACGCAAGTTATGTAAAATGCGGTAAATAAAACACTGAAGTTTGTACCAGATTATGTTTTCGGGTCGTGTTATTATAAGAACGCATCACAGGAACTGATGATGATTCATTAAATACTTATCTATTTTGCTGTATCCTAAGTTGGACGTAATTCGACCTTCCCCAATCAGTCTTAACATCGTTAAGTAATAACTTTTAGACGGTTATCACCAGATATTTTTACAATCACAGACTTCTAAAAAATTTGTTGAGAATATTTGCACAACTGGTGGCAAACTAATTAGGTGTAATTTGTCGCAAAGGAGAAAGATAAAGTGTGCCTCATGCGTGATAGATATTTTTATCTAGTTCACCCACCAATGAACTTAAGTTCGAATTCTTAGAAGGTATTTTTTAATTATATAAACTGATAATTGTGTTTATATATCATTGTACGATCATTTCATGATTTAATACAATACATGGCAAAAGTGTAGCGTAAAAATGAACCCATCAGAGTCAATAAAAGTCTTGCGTGAATTTTAAATATCCTAAGTAACAAGAGATTTAAATACCTTCGTGTACTTCTATGTCAGATAATATATGCCGTTTTAATTACGATCTATTTTTCAACAGTGTTTTAGGATTCAGTTAGCTAACTGATTTACACGTCTTTTAGTGAACATAGCCCATTCCAACGGACCAAATTTAGTCTTACCGCAGGGAATCGCAGTTACTATTGGTTTGTAAAAAATATAACTGCAAATTATGGAGTTATCAGTTTATTCAGAACCTAGAAGGAACCTGTCCTGCTTTCTTGGATTGATTTCACATAGTCTACAGAAAACAAGAAGAGCTATTATTTCAGACAAAACTGGTTGGGAATTTGATCTTAAAAGTTGTTGTGCACAAAGAATAACCATCTTGAAGAATGGTATCGAAAGTAATTCTATTCTCTCAAGCCCTCAGAAGCCTTAAAATGGTCACTCCGAACAAGGGATTCTAATTTGAACATGAATAGTCCAGAGTGGGTAGGGTGTGCTTGTTTACCACATTCGTCCTTTAATTCTGATTTATTTCCGTCACTTTCATTCGCTGGTGACAGATCGTTGCCCATCATCTAATGGATAAAGAGCATTTGTGCTAGCCAGTTAAAGCTAGTTTAGCGGTAAATAAATCCTCAAAATAAATAGCTCTGTAAGTTTCCGACATTTGATACTGACCACATTAGTTTTAATGAACTCACCTCTCTGAAGGTGTTCGGTCATGCATCCACACCAGATCACGAGTGGGAACGCCGTGCCCAACATCCCCTGCTATAGCCAGCCAGCATTTGACAACTCTTAAGGAGTAGAAGTTGTGTTTACAGTCCGTTCTTCTGTGTTGTATCTCTAGTTTCTGAGTGTTACCCCTTATGTTTGTGTCGGAGCTAAACTTACGTAGGTGTTTAAGGGGATGTTCAGAGATGTTAAGGATACTGTAAGCCATTAGAAGGTCACCTCTAAGACGCCTATACGCTAACATGTAAAGGGTTGGTGATTGGAGGTGTTCTCCATAAAGTTTGAATTTGAGTCTCTGAACTAATTTCATGGCTCACCGAAATAAGCAATCCAAAAATACTGGAAGTGGTTGAGAGACTAACGTGGACGTCCAGCATGCTTTTGATAAGCCTCGTAGAAGCTGCTGTTAGCTGAGTCTCCTGTAAACAGTTTCGTTTGGCCATAGTTTCAACGACGACACAGTTTGTAATGCCTGTGAAGTATCACTCCTGTTGCATTCTAAATGAAAAAAATAATAACTACTTACTTACTTACTTGCGCCTAATACTCCTCTTGAAGGAGTATAGGCTGCTTACCAGCATTCTCCATCAAATCCTATCCTCGGCAATCCTTTTCAGCTCTTTCCAGTTGTTATTCATTTTTTTCGTGTCTGCTTCAATTATCCGACGTAATGTGTTCTTTGGCCTTACTCTTTTCCGCTTCCCTTCAGGATTCAAAGTTAGGGCTTGTCTCGTGATGCAGTTTGATGATTTGCGTAATGTATGTCCTATCCATTTTCATCGTATTTTCCTAATTTCCTCCTCGGCTGGAAGCCGGTTTGTCCTCTCTCACAAAAGGCTGTTGCTGATGGTATTCAGCCAATGGATGTTTAGTATCTTGAGTAGACAACCATCTATAAATACACTTATCGTCTAATTGGTTCTGATCTGTCCATTGTATGCCGTGTTTTCCCTCAGGTGTTGAGGTCTTCATAATCCAGTCGAACACCAGAAGAAAGAGGAAGGGGAAGAATAGTCAGACTTGTCTGACTCCGGTCCTTACTTGCAATGCATCTGTCAGCTGTCCTCCATGAACGACCCAGCACTGTAGTCCGTCGTATGAGTTCCGGATAATGTTGACAATCTTCTCAGGAACTCCGTAGTGTCGAAGAAGTTTCCATAATGTCCTCCTATCTACACTGTCAAATGCTTTTTCATAATCAATGAAGTTGATGTAAAGTGACGAGTTCCACTCAACTGATTGTTCGACGATGATTTGTAGTGTTGCAATTTGGTCTGTGCACGACCGATCGTTACGGAATCTAGCCTGTTGATCTCGAAGTTGGGCGTCTACTGCATCTTTCATTCTGTAGCGGTAAATAAATCCTCAAAATAAATAGCTCTGTAAGTTTTCGACACTGGGTGCTGACCACATTAGTTTTAATGGACTCACCTAACTGAAGGCGCTCGGTCATGCATCTACACCAAATCACGTGTGGGAACGCCGTGCTCAACATCTACTTCAATCGCTAGCCAGACTAGATCAGACAATTCCGATATATTGGCAATCGTCAAATACAACTTCTTATCTCGATTTTGTCTTTCGATTTCTCTTGGTGGGTACGAGTTACAATAAAAGGTGTTACTGGTAAAAGCGTTGTCAAACACTGAATACCTGTATCATCCTCATTGGTGAGACCGACGTGATCTGGTACACCTAATTACAACTGTGAGACTATTCATTTTTGGGATTATATATATCATTGCTTTATTTCAATTTTTTATGCATTGTGATATTTTTCCCGCGTTTTTGAATATCTATATATTTTTCATTCGTGTATTCTCGTGCTTAATTTTCCCCTATGACTGAATAGACCCCCAAAGTATTCAAGATTGAGACCATGTCCCCACCCTCGTTCCAACTCATGTCTTTCTGGCCCGACGATATCGAAGCCTGGTTCTACTGCGCAGAAACCGACTTCCACGAGCACGGCGTGAGCGACAAACGTGCACAGTTCCTCGCAGTAGTCAAGGCACTACTGCGGGAATTCAACAGGTACGTAACACCTAGTATGTTTACTAGTGATGTTTCTGAACCGTACAAAACCTTAAAGCGTTCCATTCTCAAAGGAGGAGACCTAACCGATCGACAAAGGTTAGACCAACTCTTTTATAACATAGACCTGCAACACGGTTCTGCGAAGGACATGTTGCAAAGAATGAGAGAAGTGGTAAGCCTAAGAACTTTCGACGAGGGCCTATTCAAATAAATTATTTGTCTAAACTTCCTCAACAGGTGCAAGCGGTTCTGGTCTCGTTTCAGAACAACGCCTTAGACGAGCTGGCTGCATCTGCCGATCGTATCTTAGAAGATACGAAATTTACTACTACCGAGGTTTTTTTCAATCAAATAAAAGCATCAAACGACTCAGAATAATATAACAGAGTTATGCCATACACTTACGCGTTATCTTAATTTTCGTAACACACTCTACGTAGAAGCATTTCACGTAAGCGATCTGTCTCTAGACGACGAGAGACGGATAATCCCGACTGGTGCTAGTATCTTAACCAGTATGAAAAGTCTTCCAGAAATTGCAGAAAGCTCTGCAACCTTCCCATCTCAAAACCGACTGACTCGAAGAGCAACTCGGGAAACTTCCAAGCCGGCACGCGTTAACGGCAACCGTAGCCGTCTGTTATACGTCACATATGTGACAACGAGAGTTCGCTACCTCGTTGAAGGTAGCGTTCTCCCAGCGAATTCTGACGACCGAATTCACGAATCGGCTCTAAACTTACAGGCGGCAAACGGAAAACCTATCTCTACGTATGGCAAAAGGTACTTTTGCCTTAACGTGAGTTTACGCAAACCCATTCACTGAATCTTCATTGTTGCAGATGTTTCTATGCCAATCATTGGTATGGACGTTCTACAACAACATAATCAAATCATCGATACGCGCAAATGGAGGCTAGTAGACGGAAACACTAATTTATCCGTTTGTGTAACTTCTTTTTCTGGTTGCAGATTAACCCCAGTCACAATTAAGCATACGATAAACTCACTTTATCAACCACTACTCGATAAGTATCCTGGGATTCATCAAACGCAACCGAAACTACCATGTGTAACCAGCGACGTTACACATCACATCACGACTACAGGACCACCTGTATTCTCTAAAGCACGCCGACTAGCCTCCGAAAAGCTAAGGTTGGCGAGAAACGAGTTCGATCACATGATAGACTTAAAAATCATACGGCCATCAAACAGCCCTTGAGCATCTCCGTTGCACATGGTCCCTAAAAAAACAGCAACGATTGGCGTCCAACTGGTGACTATCGGCGATTGAATGCGAAAAGCATTCCCGATCATTACCCGTCGCCTCAAATTCCCGATTTGACAGCTACCTTGAAGGGTAAAATTGTCTTTTCGAAAATCGTTTTGGTTAAAGCGTATAACCAAATTTCTATGGCTTTTAACGATACTCTGAAAACCGCTATCATAAGTCCATTCGGACTCTATGAACTTTTGCCAATGCCTTTCGGTCTAAGAAACGCTGCCCAAACTTTCCTAAGATCATAGATGACTGTTTTTGAGGTTTCAACCTCGCACATGCGTATGTTGACGACTACCTAATCGCAATTTTGCACAGAGAATCATATCTCAAGCATCTGGATCATGTTTTCGACCGACTACAGAAACTTGGCATTACTGTAAACGTTCAGAAATGTCAATTCGAAGCTGACCAATCAGACGTCCTAGGACACACTATAGATGCTCAAGGCATTCAACCCCTTAAAAGCAAAGTGGCGGCCATTCTGGATTACCCATAACCGACCACCATCAAGCAACTACGAACGTTCAACGGCCTTGAAAGTTTCTATGGACGATTCATACCTAAATGCGCGTTACTCATGAAACCACTTACCAACCAACTTCGTGCAAATGCGAAATCCATCAATTTGGACGACACCGCACAAACAGCATTCTCCACAATTAAGTAACTGATCGCTAAAGCAACAATGATTGCACATCGGGACACTCAAGCACCCATTAGTATCGCGTTGATTCATTTGACTCAGCAATCGGAGGAGTCTTACAACAACGGGTTAACCACTCATCGCAACCTTTGGCATTTTTTTCGAGACGGTTGCTAGACACTGAATCGAGATACAGCACATTCGGTATTGTGCTGTACGGCATTTTGAACATTATATCGAAGGCCGTGAATTCACGCTTTTCACTAACCATAAACCCCTTACTTTCTCCTTAAGCTCTCCTTCTGACAAGTACTCACCTCGTGAGTCTGGACAACTGGACTAAATTTCACAGTTTACTTCAGATATTCATTACATTTCTGGTGCAAACAATGTAGTCTCAGTCGCGTTGTCTCGAATAACTTCCTTGAACAGTTTCCAAGGGATCGACCTTCTTAAACTCAGCCAGTTTCAAAAAGAAAACACTGATATTTAGCACGAGTTATCGTCTACAACCCTCAAACTACGCATCAAACATATGGGAACAGGTAAGAAAACCTTACTTTGTGACATATCTACAGGTAGGGATCGCCCAATCGTGCCGAAACATTATCGACGCAATGTCTTCAACACATTGCTCAAACTTTCTCATCCAGGTTTTCGTGCAACCATCAAGCTTATAGCAGAACGTTTTTGCTGGCGCTATTTGGAAGAAGACGTGAAGGAGTGGGCATGCTCTTTTGTAACCTGCTGAAAATCTAAGGTGGTTAGACACAATAAATGTCCCTTAGGTTCATTTAAAACTCCCGATGCTCGTTTCGACCATGTTCATCTGGACTTGGTAGAACCTTCACCAGAGTCAAATGGATACCATTATCTCTTAACCTGCGTAGACCGTTTCACTCGATGGCCAGAAGCAGTATCTATCAAGGACATCACTGCTGAAACAGTGACCCATTCCTTCGTCGAACAATGGGTAGCAATCTTCGGCTGTCCTTCAACCATCACTACAGACCGCGGCCGTCAGTTTGAATCTGAACTTTTCCGCCGTCTGACCACACTCTTAGGAATCACTCGTTTTTGAACGACCGCCTACCACTCACAAGTAAACGGGTTGGTAGAACGTTTTAACCGACAACTAAAAGCTTCACTATCAGCTGCAAACGTTTCACAGTGGACCGACGCTCTTCCACTCGTCTTACTAGGTATTCGCAATGCAGTGAAAGCTGACATTGGATACACTGCGGCTCACCTCGTTTATGGGACGACAGTTCGACTTCCAGGAGAATTCGTGGATCCTTCATCCTCTTCAATCAACATGGATCTAACCTCCTACACGGACAGGCCTACAAACGAAATGCGTTCAGTTAAACCTGCTTCCACCCGACCACAATCAACCGATGTTTTAGTTCAACCTGACTTACGATGTAGTACACACGTTTTCGTCCGTCGAGACTCACATCGACGATCATTCGAATCAGCATACGAAGGACCTTTCAAAGTTCTTCAACGCGAATCTAAGTACTATATAGTCGATAAGAACGAAACAAACGATAGCATCAGCATCACGCCGATTTCCCTTCAGTACAATCGCACAACAGGAATACTACGCTTATAATGCCTCATCCGACAATCAACACACACGATGGTACTTCGACAGTATCCGAAATGAAACTTAAGACGACGCGTTCTGGAAGAAGAGTAAGATTTCCAGAACATTTAAACGACTATTGCACGTAAGACACTAGTTAACGTTTTGTTTCATCTCGATTTTCTATGGTATAATATAATATTATTTTAAAATCAATACCTGTGCAATCTTCAGTCCGGTTCAACAACACTCTATTAAAGACTTTCCCTGGTACTGATAGTAATGTGATGCCTCTGTAGTTTTCACATTTGCTCAGATCTCATTTCTTTGGAACCTTGATGAGGTGTTCTTCTTTCCTGTCCATCGGCACTTGTTATTCCTCCCAAATCTTCTTGAATATAAGGTGAAGCATGTTTGTGGTTACTTCGATGTCTGACCTCAGTGCTTCGTCTGGTAGGTTGTCGGGTCCTGCTGCATCCCCGTTCTTGATTTGTCTGATGGTCATCCTGATTTCTTCGGTCGTTGTTGGATTGACATCTATGAGAAGATCTGTGTGATCTTGAAACATGGTCAGAGCTGGACATACAGATTGCAAATAAACACCGGACATACTTATCGCTATCTTTTAATATATAACAGCAATAAAATAAAAGGCAATTCTTTCCAACTTCCAAAAATATTGATTTGAATCAGTAGACTCATAAGAAGCAGGCAGCTCTACTTACTAAACTGATCTGCTTCATTGCATGCCTCAAGCACTATACTTAAGTGTGGCATAAATATATAAAATAAAATTATACAATAATAAAAATTTTAAACTAAGCAGGTGTCAAAATCATTATTTTATTTGCACAGATATGTTATTCAGATTAGTTAAATGTAGATAATTAAGCCTACAAACCCAAAACACAAACTATATGCCACTAAGACTTACTTAACAGAAAACAAACCGTATTGTTTTGCGACGGAAGACAACAGTCACTTACTCGAAAAACATAGTTTACAGCACAGCGAACCTTTCTTCAGTAACATTATTCACTGACAGTTTATATGAAGAAAATCAAAAATGTGATTAAACATACTATGACTTAAGATTTCAGCATACAGTGCACGTACGGCGTAACGCTGTCGAACGTGGAAAATATAAATTACGACCAGAGTAAAATTCATAGCATCATCTAGTTCTTTAATAAAAAATACATCATAATATGATAAATTCTATGACTAAATGAACGTCAACATTACCGTTGTTGCACTGTGTGACACATTAGGTTTACGTGAAAACGTTGCGATTAAATCCACCTTATTCAATGACCCAACTGCCAAAAAATTTGACTACGGCCCAGTGACATTTCAATGGCCCTACATCCTGAAATGAAGTGTGAGGGTAGGAATAAATAAATGAATCCTGCTTAGATTACTTCAGGAGCCTAAAATAACATCGTATAGAGTACGAAAATCTAGAAGGAGAAATGGCGTTGCTATTTCATACTGTCTACTTTACCTCACTTGTATCAGACCTAGGGCTGAGTACTTTGCACATCATTTTCGTGCAACTCATTTTACTGGTATTTGATATTTTTGGATCCAGCAACAATAAAAACAAAGGTTGTAAACCGCAAAAACGACAAACAATACCGTGATTATTGCGATATAACACTAAATCATCAATTAAAAAAACTATCGAAGCAAAGTTTTAGGATAATATTTGCTTGTTTTTAATACTCACGTTCTCAAGGTTACAGCGGCTGCGACGATTCGAAATGTAAAGAATTAACTGTAACGTTACATGTTTGGTTTTTTCACTCCGAGAACTTAATTTTAATGACCTTTTTATTGGCTCTCCCTTAGTTACCTTCAACGTTTACATCCGTACATTCTAAACTTTTCCGGGTTAGTAACACAGGTTTTCTCTACTAATACATGTGAGTATACTGTATATGTTGCTCTGTCTATGTCAAAGTTACTCTATATCTCCTGAATACTTTATAGAGGCATGCTCTAAAGTTATGTAAAAAAACAACTTTGTCACTGATCTTACCCGGGCTCCCAAGCTTTGGGTATTTTGGGGAAACTCACGAATTCAGATGACCCTCACCAATGTTCGGGGAACTTAGGGGAGTTCTGGAGAAATCCCCAAATTCAAATGACATTGACCAAGGTTAAAAGAGGAATTTCGGGGAAACTTCGGCGTTTTTATGCTATTTCCTCAAGGTTTACTATGGCAGCTTTCCCAAAATTTCCCCAGAATTGGTCAACTTTTCCCCAAAATTGGGAGATTGGGTGAGATCTCATTTTCTGTGGAAACGGATTTACTTTACATGGGGATCGGATATTTTTGCTTGTAAAGAGGTTATCTCCATTATTCTTCATTTTTCGGGATACGAAAATGGCGAACAATGCGACGAAAGTCCTATTACTTATCGGCCAAATTAGATATTTACATTTCAAAAGCGCTTATGAAGGATATATATATATATTTGATCATTACAAATATTAATTAGGACCAGGGGTATTTTTTTGGAAAATATAGTTGTTTAATTAATCGTATGTTTTCGGCATTCTGGAGCTTCCTTAATATACAATAATACACTAACAGTTCTTACTAAGTCTTCCTTTCATTTTGCGATGAGCCATGGTAAATTCACTCCGGTTTTGGTCACTCATTAATGGTTGTCTGCTAATAGTTTTATGAATGTCCAATAAGTCAAAAGTATTTTTAATTTATTCTGTTACCCGAATCTGTGTGAGCTGGTTCGAACATCAAACTTTTCAAGAGCGCCATTTTTCACATGCTCTATTCTACAGTTTTTCCAATTAAGCATTTTTAAATACCAAATTTTCTTTCACGTATGCACCACGTCATTGATAAGCACCAGTGCAATAAATTAACACGTCTCTCAAAACTACTCATAATTTCATATTAAAACTGCTTTAAGCTGTGAAACCTTTCGGTCAAACGACTTTATTTGACAGAACTTAATTTTACTCATGGATGTATTCAGCGTCAACTTACGCACAACATTCGAGTGTTTTAGACTTAAAAAAACATTTTTTTGTTACTTGTAATGTTTTTTTCGCTTTAGAAGTCAATAACTTGTTGGGATTCCCAAAATGGACTTTTTGACCAACGTGCTTGGAGAACTCGGTCAGAACGTTTTTTTACTAGTGTGATGAAGAAATTCATGGGGCAAGATAATCTTTGGTTTTTTGGATTCTGAGAACAGCCCAAATGAAAAGTTCACCAAACTTATTTTCTAAACGGAAGTTAAGAATTTGAAAGAACTCGTAGCAAAGTCTAATTCATTACATTACCTTGAGTAGTTTTGTAACCTTAAGAGATGTTACTCTCTCGGTTGCCTGCACTTTTAAGGAACACTTCTCATTGAGGAGTGTGGGAAGGAACTTGAATTAGCAGTCGTCTTGGCTGTAGCTTCAAAGTTCATAAAACAGCTGCTGTAAATCGGTCACGCACTGCTTTTTTGTAACCAGTTGTAGATCTGTTGGCCTCAAGTTTTTAAACTCTGCCACCAGCAGTGACAATCTACGGGCGGGATTTTTTATTTCTAGGGCCGATCTTTTCTAAGGCCCTCATTCTATCGACAGGAAGCAGGACCTCTGTAAAGAAATGCATTACCTCGATTTAACTCCTGTACCGCCAGTAAAACTTTACTCTGGAACCTTTATTTTACCGCTTTTAGATCAACCACTCTTTGACCAACATGCTTGAAATGATAGATTTTGAAAAATATAGTGTTCCAGCTAATTTAGCTCAACTAGGTCATCATAATATTCAAACCAGATCACTAAATCAAGGTAGCAGCTATTATCGGGGTTCGTCACTTTCAGAAAACGATGGTACGGGATTGCTGTTAAGGCTATAACATTAGATTATTTTAGTCATCATTTTTTCTGGTTCCTTACTGATTTTTAATATTTCCACTACATAAGCGGCAGTGAAGATCGCTTTATAACACAGATACAAAGTAGTTAGCTCGAAACAGTCTCCAGTCATCAGTTTCCCATTCATTCATTGCTTAGTTCACGCCGATGAATACTTAATGCAGGTGGTTCATTTTTATGTCAGTCTTCGTGTAAAGAGGTAGATCAGTAGCCATGATGTTCAACTTTAAGATGCTAAATTGAAGGTTTAAATCTTACTACACTTTTGGTTTGATCAGACAGATAGTATCACTAACCTTCAAGCTTGGAGTGTGGATCAAAGTCAAGTACCTGAATCTGTGAATGGTAAATCCGTTATTAAGAATAGAAAGGAATTTCCATCTTTATTTATTTTATAAAAATCAGATACTTATGCTTAACTGCAAAATAATAACCGAATATTGAGTTAAATTAGTGTTTATGAAAAATTGGTTTATGAGTTAGTCTCAGATCGGCAACGTTGATAAAGCGGTTTACTTCGTAAATTTTACGATGAATGTTCATCTGTTTTGTAATTATTGTTACTATCAATTCTGTCTTGAGTGCTGCTAGAGGTATGATGGCGGTTATCACTTCCCCGTTCTTCTGGAAATACCTGAAAAGGAAATTGGATTAGAGGTGGTCTTAGTGACCTGAGAGCGTGACCTCAGTACTCAAGGGACAACTACTTGAGGTCGATCACACACGACTTTTTTGTGAGTAACTTTCGTGTTGGCTCCGTACTTGTTGAGACCTTGCTGCTGGAAACGAAAATCGATGAGATAAGGCGAGGTGTGCATTTTTAGGGTCGACCTTTTCTAACCCAACCCCTCCTTGTAGGAAGGCAGCATCGTTATTATGCTGGTTGTCTGAAGGAAACGCCTTACTGCTGTCACACCTCTGTACAGTCAGCAGTGCAACTTCGCCCTCGGACCTTGAGTTTCCTGCTTTTAGTCTTACTGTTTTTCAACCGATCTATCTGGCATGGTAGGACGTTGAGAAACGATTGTTCCAGCCAGTATGGCTCGGTTGGTTCATCAGGGTAGGCAAGCCTGACCACCACGTTAAGGTAGCAACAACGGTCGGGCTGGCCTTCGTCAACACCTGAAATAAGGATAGAGGGTGAAGTAGTCAAACGCGTTGACAACTTCACTTATCTTGGAAGTCTAATCAGTCTTGATGGGTTGGTGTCTGACGAAATATCTTCACAGACTCAAAAAAACTCTCATCTTCGCCAACTTACGTCACCTATGGTGAAGGCGAGATATCTGTCTACTTTACGGTAGCGAAACATGGCCATTAAGAGTAGAAGACACTCGTAAGCTACTAGTGTTTGACCACAGATATCTTAGAAATATTGGTCGCATCTACTGGGATCACCGGGTAAGTAATAGCTAATTTAGACGTGCAGGGTATTAGGGAATGATGGTAAATCAGTTGATGATATTGTGAATTTTCATCGACTGAGATGATTGGACCACATGTTACGTATGCCTGGACACCGATTAACACGACGTGTAATGCTAACCGGTGTTGGAGATGGTTGGAAGAAAGTTAGGGGAGGCCAAACCAAATCATGGCATTAGTCCCTGAAGTCACTAACTTCTCGTCTGAGCCATATTGGTAGATGCAGACTATTTGGTTGGGGTCCACGTGACTATCGTAACCAATGTTTAGAGACTCTTGGTGACATGGCTCAGAATTGATTGCAACGGCGTAGTTGTATACACTCTCTGTCTTTCCTTAAAATAAGAGAATAAAATCACTCCATTTCTTTCTTTCTACGAGCTAATTCTTTCTTCCTATATTATATTCTTATATATGCAGTGTTTCGTTTATATATTACTACCACTGAATTAACTGCTTCTATGAATCCGGTGTTCATCTTGTTGTGTTAATGAGGTATGGCAACTTGGACCTATGCATATATATGCCTGATCTTACGTTGTAGCTGACTGACTATCAACTCTTCGGGGATCAAAAGTTTGATAAAGTTGGGTGTAATTCTTGATTCCAAAAACATATTAATGTACGGTAATGTTTCACGATCTTGTAACTGATGTTATTTTGCAACTCGAAAAAATAGCCGACTTATTAGGCTTGTCAACGATTTTATATTGAATTTGTATGTTGAATTAAGTTGTTGGGAAATAAATTGTTCGGTATTTCCGGTACCTTATTGTTCATCAAAGGCTAGACAAACTCCTCGATAATATTATTAACTTACATTTCTGTATATGAGAAACCGTTAAGTGTCAGTTATTGTAGTCGGTTTATACGCCTTTAACTTCATAATACAACAAAAATATAAAGTACTTTAAGGACGAAAGCAAGAGTATCAGGTTGTTAGTCGAATGGAAAATTATATAGCTCAGTGTCATCATTGTTGATAGTTATTTAGTTTTAGTATTACTGTTTTCTGATTGGTTCAGATTATCTGAGTCATATTTATTTAAGATTTCCAGATTAATCCAGTCTTGTAACTTATTTAAATTTTACATAGGTTGGACTTTCTTTTTTGTTTTATTTTCCAGATAATCTTTTGGAATTTTTCCGTATTATACAATACTTTATTTGAATTGTGATTATTGTTCTGGTAAATGACATCTTGAATGAATTCAGTGACCAATTCAAATAAAATTTACCATGAACGTCAATCTAAAATGTTTTGTGCATTGCATGCGCTGAATAATGTATTTCAGGATAAAATATTTTCAAAACATTGCTTAGATAAAATAGCTGATAATCTTAATAGCAATTCATTTATTAATCCACATAGAAATGTATTTGGACTGGGGAATTATGACGCAAATGTGTTAGTTATTGCTCTTCAACAATGTGGTTATGATATTGTTTGGTGTGATAAACGCAAAACAATTGCTGCGCATAATCTAAATTTTGATAATATTTTTGGATATATATTGAACACATTTTCTAATCGTCGTATTTTTAACTTAACATTACCATATTCAGGAAGTCATTGGATTGGTTTACGAAGATTAGAGCATAATGATAAATATTCATATTTTAATTTAGATTCTAAATTATGCGAACCGGTTGTAGTTGCGTCAACGGATGATGAATTTGTTAATTATTTAGAAGGACGTCTTAGAGAGTATCCAGAGACTCAACTTTTATTTGTCGTATCCAATGAAGTGCTTCAGCAACGATCTTGGACGCATAATAAATAATGAGCACAATTAAAGACGATCTAATTTTTTGTATGCTTACAGTGATATTTTTTGATCAATACTATACATTTGTTTAAAACTTCCTTCTTTCTTAATTGCCGTATTTATAACAAACAACAGCCATGGAAGTGAAGAATCTGTTTGATGAATGTTAGATCTAAAACATCAACGCTAATCAACATCTGATGGTTATCCTGAACTCATGATCATCCATTCAGAAAAGTCTGTCTGTTTTCAGAGTGAGGCCTTGATTAATCGAGCTAATTTAAACCGTTTTTTTTATTTTTTAGAAAAAAATTCTGGTTATTAACTTACATCTTTCTCAGACTTTGTGGATTAAACATACTGGTCATTAAAATAATTTAAGAAGGAAACCAATTATACCATCGAAAAGGAAATAAAGACAATTTAGCAAAGAAAATGTTTTCATAAAATCATTAACATAAGCTGTAAAGTCGTATTTATAGCGATTCAACAGATATACAAATTTATCTTTAAAAAAAGTGATTAGTTTAGGGTCTGAAACCTTCAGGTATCACAAGCTGGTTATTATACGATCTAAAGGTTAAAGGCAAGCAATAATAAGCAAACGAAGGTAGGAGAACTAAGTGTTCACTTTACAAATATAAATAAATGTGATCGTCAAATGGTTAGTTAAAATTCTATTACCAGTCAGAAATCAACTCAATAGATACATCACTGCTGATCCGTTTGATTAACTTGATTCAGTGTCAACGTAACGTAACTTTGATGACGTCACTAGAAGTTGCAGCTATTTTTACAGATGTACCTCTAACGCAAACAATCTATATACTATGTGATTACATTGAATGCAGCAAACTTGATGCTGGTGTTCCGATACACCTCCCAAATGCCCTGGTAAGGCCGAGAGTGGGAAGAGTCTGCTCTCTCTCTCGAAATGCTCTCACATAGCCACGCGTATATAGCCTCTGCCAGGGAATTCCTACTCATTGCCTTCTCGTGGCGGGAGTGTTGTTTACGAAATTGAGAGGACGAAAAGCGAATGTCCGGCGCTTTAACCGGTTTGGTGGACATGGAGAGTCTACCTAGGGGAGTTGGAAAACCCTGATTCCAAACCAATGGTGCACATGGGCTCCAGTATCCTGAAGGAACAAATGGCGTATGAACCAATCGTTGGTTACCGGTTACCATGGGAATGCATCTCCTGACTATGCTCCACTGCCTTGTGGATGAGACCTTCAGGTTGAAGGCTCCGGGTGTGGTCCCCCAGGCAAACCATCTGCTTCGGTTTGGGCACCCGGGCATTATCACAGCCCTCACACATATCAAATGAAATCTGTGTGGCGCATATGTATTTGGTGCCTCCTTGTACCAATATCTGTGTGTTAAAAATAAATAAGATCCGATACACTATTTCAAAAAGCTACTCCGATGCAATTCCAACGTCCAATTTTAATTCAACAATAATTTCTATGAACTAACGGCGTAGCGACGGCATTACTGCTTGGTTCACTTCTAACTGACTATTTTATTGCTAATCTCGAAAACACTATACTTAAACCAATAAGTGACAGCTTCTATCTATACAAGAGATACTTAGATGACACTTTCATAATTTGTGAAATCAATATCAATTTTAACGACATCCTTAACGCTTTCAATAACTGTCATCAATCAGTTAAGTTCACAATAAAATCAGACTGGAGTTCAGGATTCCATTTTTTAGATGTTTTGGTAAAAAAGAGACTTGATGGTTTTCTACAAAGATCGATATATAGGAAGCCAATATGGAATGGTTGGTACACTAATTTTCAAATTTGGATCCCACTTAAGCGAAATAGGGACCTGATCCATTGTCTCAGTACGAGGGTTGGATGTATTTTTGCTGAAGATACAATCGATATTCAACTTGACAAACTAAGGCAGATACTGGTCAACAGTGGATATCCACCTAGATTCATTGAAATAAATCTGAAGCCAAAACAACGACGCGAAAGATTATCCACAGCACCAAAAAAGACTTTCTTCATGAACATTCAATTGAAAGAAGATAATACAGCAGTGATTTTGGAAAACAAACTTTCAAGATCTAAGAGAAAAACGTGCTATTTGATTGAACTTCGCATTATCTTTTCTAGGCGGCCTGTGATTCGAAGTTGTGTGAAACATAAGCTCCCTCTTTGGGCCGGATCGATGTGCATCTAATAGTTTACTTGCGCATGTGGAGCAGGTTACACTGGTCACACAAAGCGAGCCATTTCGAAACCCATCTCCAAACATTACCCTGACTGGCTCTCCAAAGGGTTACAGAGGTCAGTCGAAAACTTAATCTTTGAGCATTTGGTCAAGTCCGGCCACTCCACTTCACCAGAAGCCTCCTTCAGAATCATTTATACAATCAAATGAGTTGGCTCAATAGGAGTACAGTTGGAAAACTCACGTACACCAGAGTCTATTGCGGCCCACCAGTCTAAGCCTAACCTTTGTCTACAAAGACAATATGTTTAGCCCCTCATTCTTCCAAGGCCCTAACCCCCCTTTCTATCTTCCATAATCTATCACTTTTATTTATTTTATTCCTACTCCTTTCCAATTATTTTCACAACTATTAATTAGCAGTTATCACAACTTCTAAGAACTCTATTCTCAATAGCTATCTGGTGGACAATTATTTCACCTTACCACTTTTTCACTAGCCAGTTATTACACGACTTCCTCTCAATATCTGGTTTTCAAATCTTGACAACGTACAACATCAAGCTTTTTAAAGAATAAGCACCTCCCTATCCTGCTATAGAACACTATTTTGGCAAATAAAATTAACTATAAATGCGATTGTACAGCTTAAGTAAATGAAATCTTCGAAAAAGAAATTTTCTTCCTTGAATCTCCTTCCTTATTCAATGACACAATGGGCCGTTTTCGTTATTTAAATATAAGGTTAAGGAGTAATAGGGAATGTGAAGGTGATAATAGCTGATTGATAAGTATGGGACATTAGATGATATTAATAACTAACTTCCGATTGTGAAAAATCAAGTGGTATGGTCTTAGTAGATTGAGACACTGTACTTGCTTCCATTACACGTAGATTTCGACAGTTAGCCTTTGGTTTGTTGAGACCAATTTAGTACATGCGTCTTTATTTTGTGTTCCCCTTGAGCACAAATGTATGTATCGATGATTTTGCGTGATATTTCTGATAGTACAATGTAACAAGGATTAAAAAGTGTCCTTGTATTGAGCAGTCGATTGTTTTTCTTCTCTGAAAACCATCCAGAGTTATGCTTTTAGATGCGTTTACAAACGCTAAATTTGTGCGGCTGATGTAACCTTAACAAATAATTTCACATTGTGACCCAAAGCAGGAGTTTATCCTCACCATGTTCAAGAATCAGAGGCTGGGTGGAGAAGGCAGTACATAGCTTATCAAAGTAAAATGCTTTCTTAAAAGATTTCGGAAGTCGTTTTTCAGTTACATTATTTCCCATGAATTTAATATTCTTGAAGTGAATTAGATCAAACCAATTTCTCATGTATATACGACAAGTTATGATCTAATATTACTTAATAGAATTCTCTTGACCTTATAATTTTGACGTACTCCCTTGTTCGTCTTCTTAAAAGCTAAGATATTTTTATGCATATGTTATTCAAAAATTTCGAGTAAAAGAAATGCCACATGACAATCAAGTAAGGAGAAATGAATATTTTCCGAACATGTTATAACTGGATTTGATAAACAGGGTCGCTGGAAAGGCGATAGTGTAGCAAACTATCATTATGGACATAACTGTTGTTTTAAATTATTTATAGCTAAAGTTTCCGCTGCGTAGGCTATGTTATTCTGATAATATTCTCTAAATGATATCGATGGAAGAAGCTGGAACTGAATGTAGTGGATCTACTTCATGGCACAGCATAAAAGTTATAATTGGTCCACCATGGCCCTTCCTAAGCCATACTGGCGGATGCTCATCAATCGGACGAAAAATATTCTTTGTTAATTGGATGGTTTTGATCCAACGTTGTTTGAGAGAAGGTTTTAAGAGCCCGATTGTGGTTGTATTGTGGGACAACAGTACGTTATGAATAATGCAAGTATCCCAAATTAAGGAAGATCATATCCGTATTTCTCACATAAATCTGAACATACTTTTAGATTTTTGATAGGAATTATTTCTTAAAAACCATTATGTTAGAGAGTTCAATGGAACCTGTCTTCCCTTGAAATCAATTAAGATGTTTTGATTTAGTATTTAAAATATCTTATGTAAAGTAATTTTGAAGTGAATGCTACATACATCCAAATGAATTTTTATTTTCCATATTCTATAGTTCCATTGTGAGTTTGATTCTCTAGATCCCCTTTTCATAATGCAAAGCTAAATTGTACGCTTAAAACTTCAGATATTCTAAAAAGTTTCTGTTAACTTTATTTCACACTTATAAGTTGCCATATTTACTGCTTCCTCACATGATCCACTCATCTGTCTCCAGATACGATTTTTTTTAATTTTGTACCATACTTAACAAAAAACTAAACTTATTAATTCAAGGGTTTTGTAAACTATCTTATGAACAAAATATCTACGAATCCAATTTCTTTATATACTGGATTAAATCATATTTGTCTGTTTAATAATTAGTCTGGGCAAAGAGATAACGGATACAGTAAAAATGTCACTCATTTCAACTAAATGAAATAGAGAACACAATAGCGAACGCACTGATTAGGGAAAAATGTCAGGCTTTTATTGATATGGTTCTCAAACGAATGTCTCATAACTTCAGTCCGTCAGCGTTCCAGAGAGCCTTTTCATAAATATCGTTGAATTTGTACGGAATCGTATTAATAACCTGAAAATTGACCCAAATCTACTCTAATGTTTTTTATGGCCAGTTCTATTGAAAACATCAGTATAACTAATATGTTACTGAAAATCAGGAAATACATTAATGCCTCAATACTTTTTTAATGACATATTCTTAAGTTTCTATGATCTCTGGGCTTATTAGCCAATATGAGGCATTAAAATTTCAAAGTTGCTACAGGTTTTGCTCAAATTTTATCTGTAAGACATATATTACGACAAATTTATTAACTTTATCGACATTTACAGAACAGGCTGAACAGACTGCACATTATTTTTTAAATACACTGTTCAATTTAAGTGATATAAATAGATTTTCCTTCTTTTATGTTCATTGGTTTTAGAGTAAGTTTGAAAAATTCAGCCACTTATCTTTTTTTAACGATTGCAGGATCGTTTTTTTAAATGT